GTTTTTCATCAAACTCTAATCTAGGTGTTGCTGTGGAGGTCTTTTGTGATGTGGCTACATCTATAATCTGCTGGCATCAAGTAAATGGTAATGGTAAATGGCATGGTATGGGGGGGGGCCTCACCCAATCAGTGTGAAGGTCTTTAGAGCAAAAGCTGAGATTTCTGGGAGAAGGAGACATTCTGCGTCAAGACTGAAGCATCAGCTGGTGCCTGAGTCTCCTGCCTGCTGACCTGCCTGCGGGTGTCAGACTTGTCCGCCCCCACGACTAAGTCTTTAAAGTAAGTCTCTCTCTCGTATCTCTATCTCTGTCTCTGTCTCTGTCTCTGTTTTGTCTCTGTCTCTATACCTAGATCTACATCTACAGCTTCCTGATGTTTCTCTGCAGGACGCTGACTGACACACTTCCCTTTACTCCAGCGCCCCACTTTCCCGCTTGGGGAACCCTGGCACCCATGTGCGATGGCCCCTGTACAACTTATTTCATCGTGGGCCTTGTCTGTAATCGAAAGAGTGAGGCAGTCGGGGCTGGATGAGAAGTCCCGTCAATTCCCACGGGAGCGCTGCGTAGCCGGGAGAAGTATGTGGCAGTGAGAGAGGGTGGTTTCCAAAACGGACTCAGTGAGAAAAGGAAAATAACATAGTGATGGGCAGTGTGCATAGGACGCTCTTTGGTGTGTGAAAAGGGAGAAAATATGTCAGTGTTTGTAAATGCATAAAATGTCTCTTGATGGGCACACAAGAAACTACCACTGAAGGCCTCCGGGCAGGGGCCTGGGGTGGAGGGAGACTTCCCTCTTACGCCGTTTTGTTTCACAAAATAACCTTGTTTTTGGCCATATTGCTCGCAGCAAGGGCAGCTATGGTCCTTAAGGTGGAGTCCACGTTTTTTATCATGGTTTCCAAGGTCCTTTCTGACCCTGCCACTGCCTCCATCCTGTCCCTGCCCCTACCCCACCACTCCCCTTTCTCTGCATTCTCCATTCCAGTCGTAGATGTACTTCTTTCAGTTCTTCAAATTCACGTGCTCTCTCTGCCTCCCAATCTGGAATGCCCCTGAGGCTCCCTCCAAGAGTTCCTGCTTTTCCTGGGTGCTCCCCTTCTTCTGAGGGACCGGGGTGGCTTGGCTGGTGTTTGACTTCCCTCTGCTGTGAGCACGGCTTCCCCGGGGAACCCAAGGACCAGGGCCGCACTCTGCCCCGTGGCTTCCTCTGGGCTCTGGGGGCCAGGAGGAGTGCAGCAGTCCCTGTCACCCCTCCTGCCCTCCTGTGAATGCCCTGACCCCTGGGCTCAGAGCATTCAGGCTGAGAGACTCGAAGGCCCCCCAGGGGGCCTGCTGGGCAGCTCGGGTTTTCTCAGGTGGGCATAGGGAAGAGGCCTCGCTGTACCTGGACTTCACTGACTGCCTCTGGAAGGAACTTGGCGCTGGCGCCCTGCAGGGCGGCCTCCGTCTCCAGACATCCAGCTGGTCAGCACCTGGTCCTCTGGAAATCCTTTTGTGCGAGCAAGACAGCAAATGTGGGCCTGGCCCCTGAAGTCCTTTTTGGGGAGATGAGTTGGATGTGCACATTTTAGATGCATGCCTGGATCAGCGCAGTGACTGCAGGCGAACGGGGGTTTGGATTCTGTGTCTTAGGAGAGCAGAGGGGAGCAGGTCAGGAGGTGAAGCCGTCTGGACCCCAGGGCACAGGGACTGGAGAAGCATGGATGGTGTGTGCTCTCTGCTCCGGGACTGGATATGTGCATTTGGTGCCAGATGGAGGGAAACAATTTGTCATGTGTGTATTTTATTTCTCTCATCCACATTTGCTCTCTTTGTACATATTCCATCTTGGATGAGTAACAGGGTCATAGGTCGATGCCAAAAGGGATTCAGTCAGGTACAGGTACAGGAAATCCATGTCTAGCCTCTTCCCCGTGAACAGATCTGGGATAAGCGTAACAGAAAGCCAAGTGCTGAGGTCCGACTGGACAGATTTGACTTGGGGCTTTTGTAGGTTCATCTGACTTCACTCCTGAGCCTGTTAGAATTTTGTGGTATGGAAACGTGGAACCACCTCCCAAGGACACTGGAGCAAACAGGGACACCCAGTCCTGGCTGTGGTCCCCACGGGGGGTTTAACGGCAACCTCTTGGCCATCTCGAGTTCCAATAGCTCTGATGGGACCATCTCAGTCACCAAAGCTCCAATTTTGTTTCTCCTGGATTGAACTTAAAAAATTAAAACCTCAAAAAACTGTAGAACGCAGTATTTAAAAACAGGCACTCTGAGTCAGGTGTAAACACAAAGCTGTCTTTTTTTATAGAGTCTGAGTTTTATAAGGTTGCCAAAATGTTTCTCTATTGGTTTTAAAAATTGAAGCAGAAACCACTTCAGAGGGAAAAATATTCTGTGGAGGAAATTCTCAGACATTGAATCCCCTGGTTGACATCACAGAGAAGTCAGTGTCTGTGCACAAGAGCCCCTGAGCGAGGCTGGCTGGAGGGAGCTGCTGGGCCAGGTTGACGCCTGGGGGGACACTGTGGAAGAGCATTCGCTCCAGTGGAGCTCCTCAGTAATAACTGAGATGTCATTGCTTAAATTTTGCCCAAGTTTGCCATTTCCCAGTCACCCCCATTTCCTGCTTTCTGTCCCTGTGTCTCATGTGTGGACGGACGCACAAGCAGAGGAGCTCCCCATCCATCTGGGCCAGAAGCTGCGAGTGGGGAGTGCGGAGACCATGGCCTCAGGGCGCACTGGAAACAGTGCTCTATCGCTTGACCCTTGACCCCTTCCCAAAGACCAACCAGTCCCATTACCTTCTGGACTCTCCTCTTCCCTCCCTTCCAATGTGTCCCCTTTCTCAGCTACTTTTGTTTTCAGTTCTTAGAAGTGACTAGTGAACCAAGCACTTGCCATTCTTGGGCCAACTTCTAGGCATTCCTCAGACCCGATGGTCACTTTTCTGCTGTGTCACAGACGTTGTTGGCCTGCGTGAGCAGAGATCTTGGCATCAGGATTTGCATCGTCGCATCCTGAGGGCATCCTGCAGACAGATTTCACAGGCTGCCCCACAGCTTAGGGAGCCAGAACAGGCTACTTCAGTGTGACAGAATCATTTTGTCTGTTGAATCTAGTACAATATTGGGGCTTGTAATTTTTTAATTTTTATTGTATTTTACAAAAGAATTTGACTATATGGCTTGGAAATAAACAGCCTCCACTACAAGTGAAATTCACAGATGGTTTGAGCAGCACTGTGTGAGCGAGGGCGTTCCAGAGCTAGTGTTGGGGATGCAGAGGCTGAAGTGCCCAGGGAAGGGGCGCTTTCCAAGCATTGCGATGTGTGGCTGGAAAGCAGAAGATGGAAGTGCTTGTAGAAGCCCGTGGGACGCTGTCTGTGAGATTGGTGCTGGGGTGCGATGTGCTAGCACTGCCCACTGGGAAAGGGGAAACGGACAAAGTGTGGGCTGCCGCCCTGTGCTTCTGGCTCCGCTGGGTCCACACTGACCACTCTGCATCTTTCTAGAGAAGGATTGGGTTCTAGTTATGGACGAGATTTCCACTGCCCCCAGCCATCCCCTCAAGCTCTGGGGACAGTCGGTCTCAGGCTGATTGGGAGTCAGGGCCACCGACAGACGCAGTGACTGTTTGAGGGACAAAGCCAAGGTCTTTCACACGAGTTTGGATCCTTTCTGTGTTGCCCCCTGGGCACCTTCTCACCAGCGTTGAGAGTATGAGTTGACAGTACCCATCTGTGCCCCTTCTGGACCCGAGTCAAACCCATTGCAGCCTCTTCCAAGGGTAGACTATCTGGGTGTTAATTATCCCCCTTTAATAAAGGAAATTAAGTCTCTTTTCGGGAGGGGACTGTTAGGGGAGTCGTAAAAGCTTCACTATATGAGTAACCTTCTCTCCAAGACCGAACATTCTACTACAAAGTTTGCTGGCAAAGAGCGACAGCTTTGCTGATGAAAATTGCTAACAGCCCAGCTTCAGGCCCCATGCCCAGCCCATTACGTTCCCTCTCTTTAACCTCACAGCTCTCACACTCACCCTCATTCCGCACATTCCGAACTTTTGTCTTGTGCACTTATCCCCTCCCCTTAGAATACTCTGAGTCACACACTGAGAGATAGCTCATTTGGGTTATGAGAATTTAACTTTAGGAGGAATTTCATTTAACATCTCAGCTTGCAAGGCATTTCTTCCTGTTTCCAGGGACCATTTTGGCCTCTGCGTGTCTTTTGAACAGCTTGAGCCTGGTGAAGGAGAGTCGCCATGTGGTCATTGTTGCACTATCAAGTTGTGGTTGCCTCAGAGAAATCTTGGGTTCCCTATGTTTTGGTGGCAATAACCTCTGTATCCTATGTTTTCTTTTGTCTTCACTTTTTTTTTTTGGATTAGAGGTTTAATTTTATAAACTTTGAGTATCATAGGCCAAAAGACAAAACCAACCCACGGCTCAGAGAGGTTAAGTAACTTGCCCAACATCACATAGCCAGAGAATGCTGGAGCCAGAATTCAAACCCAGGTTGGTCTCTCCAGCCATATGCTTAACTGACATTATTTAGAATTTCTATTAATATATATTATATATCATACTGGAATTAGCAGTATTAGAATGAGATTCAAGCCATGTGTAGTTAAAACCCCAAAGCTCCAAGGAGGCTGCTGTCTCTTTAGCCATGGTTAAGGAGTGAAATATGATTTCGGAGGTACTTAGGGTGGAGAGCAAGCTATAACCGATATCGCCTGTAAGGTTAGCGTTGTATTTAGAAACATGCACCCAAGTCAGGTGACGCATTTATTGGCGACTCTGGACACACATCAAACTGTATCAATATTTACACCTCTCGCCCTTTCTGGCTCATGGTTGAAGACAGTCTGCATAGAGTGGTTGGGTGGGACTCGTTTACGGGGGTGTCAGCCTCGCTATTCCTCGCAGGCTTGCTTCTAAGATTCAGTTCCTTTTTTCTAATCGATCATATTGACAAAAAGAAAAAAAGACACACACACCAGTGTTACAAAACCTTGTATTAATCATTTCCCTTCACTTTCAATATAACGTTGATATGAAATATAGCCATGATTTAGTTACATGGGAGGAAATGAGTAATAAATACACTGTAGCAAGTTTAAACCACAAGGGTGTTTCACTGGTAACAACATTTGAAAACTGTACACTTGCAAAGAAGAGCATGTTCAAACATCAGCGTGTCCGGATATCAGGAAGGCTTTTACATGTAACAAACATGCTATTTCCATATTGTGACAAATTTAAAAAATATGCATTGCTTGGCAACATGAACTAGGCAAAAATAGCTCTCTGTTCACTAACTTTATACAGGAAACAGGACTAAAGGCATGCATGTACGTAGGGGTGCCTGCACGGGGCATGCAACAAAAGGAAGCTTTTTAAAAGTCAGCTTACAGTAGGCATAAATACATGAGGGTTATATATTAATAAGGGAGGAAGTCTTCTGTTTGACATTATTAACATTTCTGTTTTCTTCCTATTCCTCCCAGAGGAATACACATTCACCTTTAAGGAAAGATAAAGGAATTACAAAAAAATAAAACTCACTTTGCAAACATCTCTGATGACTTGTAAAATAAAAAAACCCAACATTATTAGTGTTATCACAGCCCCATGTGCAAATTATCCTTCCGCAGGTCCTTCCTGTCGCAGGCACAGCCAAGCGCCTGGGTCAGGCTGCTTCCCTGCACCCAGGCTGGAGCCGCCTGCTGCAGACAACTCCAGAAGGCGAGCGAGGCGGGCGCCGGCTTCTCCGCCCCTTGCTGCCCTTCTGCTTGCACGCCCAGGCATTCAGCCCAGCGCAGGCCCGCAGCCCCGCTCGCGGTGAAATCTGGGTCAGGTGGGGGAATGGGCATCTACATACCCTGCCCGGGCATTAGCTGCAAGAGGTGCAGGACAACAAGGACCCGGCGAAGGCTCCCGTTCCGTAAAAGGCAGCCAACGACACCTCAAAAGGAAACGTCGTTTCCCTCAGTGTCTCTTCAAACAAATGGGAGAGGGGCCCAGCTGTAGCTCCAATCCTGAGTACCAAAAAGGGAGCAGGGCTGCACGGGATTCGAGAGCTTGCTGCCACGGCCGCCTTCTGCAGGCAGACCCAGCAGCATCTATTTTGCTTGCTGGCCCTTGTTTAAAAAGTGAAACTTAAAAAGCATGTGGAAAAAAAATCTTATCAGCAGCAATGTTTCATTTCTTGCACACAGTTCATGTGTGTCTTCCTACTGTTTCCGGTAAGAAACCACTATGAATAAAAAGCACCAATAAAACATCATACATGATAACAATATCGTAGAGCACTCTGTCCCTGGGACGGGGTAGAGGTGCCAGATACACACGGCTTAAATCAGAACAAGTGGGAAAACACATGTAGTGAAATATATTGTACTCTGAGATCTTTAACGTTTACTAGTTACTTAATATAAAACAGCTGCATCTGGGGTCGATGGGCAAATACAAAAAAAGGCACTGCTGCTCTATTTCTAACTACCCGACCGCACAGCCTCACGCATGCAACTGTTTGATTCTTTCATAAAGAAAGTTCTTTTGCTTTAGGATTTTTCAATTGAGCTGTATACCTGCAGTCAACACAGGACTCAAAACAAGGTGGGGACAAGCTCCTAAAATTTATCAGAACACTCAACTTAAAAAAAAATTAAAGCACTAAGAGCAAAACACAACTAAGTAGATAAATCTATACACGGTCAATGAAAAATAAGCTTTTCTTTTGTTTTAAAAAAAGAATTATGTTGTTATTAATAACAGACTTTATCATGGTTACCAGCCATAGCAAGTTAATAAGTAACATATCCAAAATAATCTCTCTAATAATCAGATAACCATTGTTTCTATATTCAATGAAGGAATAAATAGAAATTCAGATTTGCAAATACTTTAAGGTATTCGTCCTTTTAAAGGATTCATGCTAACGTGATTGTGTTCACAATCTGTTTTGAACAGCCCGAGTCTTTGTGGACATATCTATTTTGCGTTCTCATCTCTCTGTGAGATATGTAACACCATTGCTTTTTCTTCTATTAACTTTCTCAGCATCCAAAAAACACCTTCGCAAACCCTCTGCTCTTACCTTTGCCCTTCAACCTCTTTGTCCCGTTCTTCCCGCCTCATAGGTGATCGTCCATCCCAACACATTCCCCAAGTAACACTCAGCTGGTTTAGAGAAAGGGTGTGGACAGTGAATGTTAATGGCACTTGGTTAAAAAAAAATCAACTAAAAACTGCTGCCTCTTTCTGCACGTGGATTTGCATCTTTAGAATGCAGGCGCCCAGAGAGGCCTCTTTATGCGATGCCTGGCACCGCGGGCTCCAGTCTTCCCTGCTTGCTAACGGCTCTCTGCAGTGAGACGCACCCAGCTCTTTAGACCTTAAAGAAACTTCAAAAGCCTTGTTACAACGTCCAGTGCTGCGTTGGGTGTACATTTTTAATCTTCAAGGTAAAAGAAAGTTCCTTGGATTTCATTAAGGCCTTTTAAATCTGTATTTACTTCATAAAACAAAAAAAAATAAGTGTGCGGTGATTTTCATGGTCTGATCTCTTCAATTTCGACTCTGTCTTCACTAAACAAAAAAATGGCACTAGATTCACCCATTTAATAAACAGACCTTATACCATCTCCCTGCTCTCGCCTCTGACAGAGCATTCACGCAACCCAATTCTCCAGTGCAGAGCACAACTCCTCTTTGATTTCCTCTAAACCCTCCATTGTGTCTAATTCTGAAACATAATCTTTCTTGCCCTTAAGAAACAGAGCTGTTACTTTGTGGTAGCGAAGTCTGTGAATCTCTCACTATGTAAATAGGGTTACATCCCTTCCGTGTGGATGGATGGATCAGCCAACACCACAGCCAATCCCCGACAATACCATGTGGACAGAACCGTCCTTTCCATCCTGAACTTGACCCTTCACACATCTTCTTTCGCTGCCCACCTGGGCCGCGCATCTCCTCGCAGCTCTCTCTGCCACTTGCTGATGTGTTTATACACCATTGCTGGGCCCTGCTCTCCTCCTCGTCCTCGGCAGGGAGCCAGCCAAGGGGGTACAGCCCCCAGGCTCAGGTTCCCACAGCAACTGCACTGCGTGTTTTGAGCTCCTTCTCTGAAGGGTATTAAGGCCTCTTGCAAGGGAAAAACGTGGGTCCTTGCCTTTCTCCTCCTGCGGTCCTTATCCCAGCTGTGCGTGGGGGCGAGGCTGTGGCGGCTGGGATGAAGCCCATGGTAGGCGAGGAGGAGGGGAGGCCTCTGGGTGAGAAGCACATCCAGCACAGAAAGGGGCTGTGGCATTCTCTTAGGATCTCTAGGTGACCAGAGAGCAAACCCCTAACTGACTACACGGTGCTGTCTCCTTGTGCCCTCACCAGTGCTCTGCCCGTCCAGCCACATCCTTGTCCTTCAAGTCCACCTGCACGCTCCCCCCCCCCCCCCCCCCCCCCCCCCCGCCGGTCGGCCTGCGTCTCCCCGGGAAGCAGAGCTTGGCAGCCATTTGGAAAGACAACCCTGCTGCTAGTAGAAAAATAGAAGAAAAAAAGAATCCATATCAACAAATCCTTTACAAAAACCATAGTAGGAAGAGAAGTTCTATCCAAACTCTTTAGACATTATGTACCCTTTAAAATTGTTTTGTAAACAATACACAAATCAAAGTTTATCCGAAATTGTGTCAGAGGGACTTTCTCCCCTCTCCCCTGTTGCCACATGGCCTCTCGTGCGCTCGGCTCCAGGCAGGGGCCTCTAGGAAACCCAACTGGGGGGCAGAAGAGGGGAGCCGCCATCTTGCTTTGGTCGCACGTATCCATGACTTCCTCCTGGGGCCTGACTGCAGGTGGAGCGGTCTAGAAGGCTCCAGGGCTGGGCTCTGCTTCTCTGCTGTGTCTCTCTCTCCTCGTTCACGGTAGTAGTCTGTTTTTGCCTCTTTCCATCCAGGAAGCCACCTGCATCCCCTCCACCCCCTCCCAGTCTCAGGTTTCCTTAGAGACCCCACCCCACCCCACACCAAGCCATCCCACAACAGAAACAAATGACAAAATAACCAAGCCCAGGTCTACTGATATGTTTACAAGGACGACCTACGCTCTCACAAAATCAAAATGGGAGAGGGACCAGGGAAAAGGCTGCGAAGTATCTGGAGGACTCCGCGCAGCCCCGCAGACAGCTGGCACTGGGCCCACAGCAGTCGATTTCACGGCCAGCGCGGTCGCTCGCATCTTCAGCTTCTAGATTGTGGAGGTCCGGTCAACCCCGTCTGTGAGAGAAAGAAGCACATGTGGGCACGGGGGAGTAAAAAGCTCCGTTCGTGCCTACCTACCCCAATGCCACGCAGCTGGGCCTTCCAGTCTCAGAGGACAGGTTGGGGCTAAATCCATTCATTCATTCATTCATTTGTTCACTCGTTCACTTCTACCCCTACCCACTCAACATCTGGGGAATAGCTATTTCTGCCAGGAGCCACAATGAGCCTGGGAACCAAGATTTAAAGACCTAATCCTCACCCACTAAGCACTCACATCATAGTCAGGACACAGACATGGTAACCCCCATGACAGAGGAGTGATAATTCTATAATGGAGTATGTACCAGGCACAGCAGGAATATGGAGAAAGGAATGTTTAAGTCACCCCTGGAAGTCAAGGACAGTTTCACAGAGAAAGAAAAAGAGCTTTGTAAGATGGTGCTGTAGGAGAAGAGAGGTGGCATGAAAGCATGAGCGTGGGGAGCGCACACAGCTCACGCATGGGTGTGGTGCTGGTCATCAGCGGTGGGGCTGGCATTGGGCTGGAAGTTTAGGGTGAAGGATGGAGGAATAGAGGAGTGGTAGCAGACGTGGCTCAAGAGCCGGGGGGGGGGCTGCAATAGACATGCAGGTGGATGTGTCTAGCTCACATCCCCTTCTTTGTGAGCATCTCCCCCTCACCCTGAGTCCCCGCTGAAAGACTGGGGATGAGGTACCTATGACTTGGATCCATGGTTCCCACTGATCAGACCAGGAGGATGCATCCAACCCAAATTGATCCAGATTCTCTGTCTCAAGAATTTGACTGGGGGCAGTGACACCATAGTTAGATGTTGTGGGCGTTTGGAACTGAAAGATACTGCAGAAGTGGGAGAGTGCTGAGGCCACCCAGGCTATGCCATGTCTATATTATGGGGAGTCAGCGAAACCAGGCTATAGAGAAAGTGGGGGGCATGCATATCAGAGGCCATGAGTGAGACAGACAGCAGGGGGAGCTGATGGTTGCCCAGCCCCTTTGGTTGTCTGCTGACCATAGGAGAGCCCTCAGGACCAGACCACAAGAGTCCTGTGTACCGTGGACGGGAGCTTGGACACAGGCACCTGGGGAACTAAGAGCAGTAGACTAACCAGATCTGATTCTGGAACTGTTTCTCTGCCAGGTGTGTCACATGACCTGAGGAAGGATAAGGCTGGTGGCAAGAGGACCCCTACAGTGGTCCATGCTAGGGCTGACAAGGGCTTATCCCATCAGCAGAGCGGGGCACGGATTAGCCAGCGTAGGAGGGAGAAGTAACTGTGTTCACTGACTACTAAATGAAGGCCAGGGAGAGATGCAGCATGCCTCCTTGGTTTTGCTGATATCCAGATGTGCCCCGATGGGTCCTGTCTAAGCCTGGATGTCACTGACCTGCTCTAACACAGAGCGTCTCCATTCAGTAGGCAGAACTCAGGGATGAGAAGGGAGTGGCAGAGTGTTGGGGGGGGGGGGGCAGGAGGACCTAGGTGACATGGAGCAGTGCTGAGTCCACTGCCGTGTCCCCTGGCCTCCTCATGGGCGGGGCCCGGCCAGCGTCTCACCAGCAGGGACTTGGAGGAGAAATGTTTCTTTCACTGAAATTTTTACTGAGATCATTGTAGATTCACAGGAAGTTGTAGGAAATAGCACCAGGTTTCCCCCAATGTAACATTTTGCAAAACTATAATCTTACCACCAAGATACTGATGTTGATACAATCCCCTGATCTTATGTGGATTTCCCCAGTTTTACGTGCGCGTGCGGGAGTGTGTGTAAAGTTCTACTCAATTTTTGGAGAGGTTCTAAAGTAGGGAAGCAGATGGGCCCTGAGCGCGTTTCTGGTATCCGATCATCAATCCTAGCGGCCCCCAGATGTGAATTTACAATCCATAACCTCTCCCCGAGCTCCGCGGGTGTCAGCCTGAGCCTCCCGGGGGCTCTGCAGTGGTAACTGGCTGTGGGAACAGTGAGCTGTGTGCGCGTGCACACAGGGGCGCGCGTGGCGGGAGAACAGCGAACTGCGTGCGCGTGCACACAGGGGCGCGCATGGGGAGGAGAACAGCGAACTGCGTGCGCGTGCACACAGGGGCGCGCGTGGGGGGAGAACAGCGAGCTGTGTGTGTGGAGGGGGGGGGCTGTAGAAGAGCAGTGCACACTCTTGCTGGGACTCACGGGCCCACTCATTGATGTCAACCCTTCGTAGCCGCGGAAGTGGGGAGCTGGAAACATGAAAATCTCAACTAAGGCAACCCCAAGTCACATTTTCACAGACTCCTAACCCCATACCTCATCCTCCAAGTGTGATGGTATTCATCTGCAGGGAAATGACCAATAGATAAGTCCAGACTGATCATTTACAGTTGTGCAAGCTGTGCACTGCACAACTCCAGAGGGTGCCAATCACATGCAGCCATCATAGGTTCTATAGTTATTAGGACAAATTTCAAATAAATTGCAGAACAGTATCTTGAGAAAGTGGAGCCTTTTTCTAATTTGCACAAAGTCTCCATGTTGGCTAGAAGTGGGGCTGTAAGTCGTGAGAAAGACTAAAGAGAACAGGTGAGAAGGAATGGTAAGGGGATCGTGTGAAACGTGACCCCAGAACGGCCGAGAGTGGGCCGTGCGTCCCTCTTCACGGTGCGGCTCACTGCAGACTCCGTTCTGCTGGGAGGAGCCTCGCTTGTGTAGCCAGGGGTCTTTCTGCACGTTTAACGCTCCGCAGGAGGAGGATGACGGCCAGGCTTGGTGCTGGGTTTTCCTGAACACCCGGGGCTGCCGGTCAGGAGCAAGCCCAGCTGAGCCAGAGGAAAGCCGTAAATAAGGGCTCACAAACCAAGATGGCAGAGGCAGCCCAGCCCCTGGCTTCCGGTGGGTCTGTCAGGGGGCCGGGGCGACCGGGAGGAGAGGTGGCAAGGGAAGGCCAGAGAGAAAAGGAGCTGAGACGCGCAGGAGGAGGCGGCGGCAGACTGAGCAGACACTGAGAGGGCCGGGGGCCCGACCAGCCGCCTGGAATGGCCACACTGGGCCCTGGTGTCCCGGGACCTCGGACGGCTCCCCGTGCTGCCCTGAGGCCCAGGCGGACGGGCCTCTTCTACTCTGCTTCCCCCTCCCGAGTCCTCGTCCTCCTGCAGGATGGCTTAACTCATGGGCATTCCGTCCCCAGCAGGACCATCTTCCCTGGCACCCGGAAGGGGTCAGCCAGCAAAGAGGTGCTGTCCTAGTGGGAGGGCACCGCCAGGGTGCCCAACCCGGCCACCCTCAACTTAATCTGCATTCTCTGCACGGGAACTGCTTCGAGGCTTCACTCCAGAGGGGCTTGCTGAGAAAAACACAGCAAACAAGGGTGTAGCAGAGTAGCAAGATGAGAACGTTAGCAAAAACATCAGTTCAGAGAGGTTTTCTGTAAAAATAGAAGAATGAGCTAAAAAACGGTCTTTTCAATGAAAACCTCCCTTTAAAAAAGAGCATTTGGCATTCCTGCTGCTAGTGACGATAATGTTAGTACTTGACAGTTGGTAGGCGCGTGCACTGCGCCCACTGTCCGAGCTTTATGGAGCCTGGGGCAAAGAGCAGCTCTCCTGGCTCACTTTCCTCCCACAACCACTGGCAGTGGGAGGGCACCGGGGCTGCCTGCAGCGGGCGGAGCTCGGCCTGAGGACTCAGGGTCTGGGGGCTTCCCTTTTAAAAAATTGAGACATAATTCACATACACAAATTTCACCATTCAGTGGTTTTAGGAAATTCACAGAGTGTGCAACCATCGCCACTATCTAATTCTAGAATATTTTCATCACCCCCAAAAGAAATATGGTTCCCAGCGGCAGCCACCCTCCACGCCCCGCCCTCACCTATACCTTCTGCTCGACAGGCTTGCCTCTTCTGGACAATTCTCAAGCTCATGATTGGATCATACACTGCCTGGTCTTAAAGTCTGGCTTCTTTCACTTACTATAATGTTTTCAAGGTTCATCCGTCTTGTAGCACGCGTCAGTATTTCCTTCCTTTTTAAGGCTGACTGAAATTCCAGTGCACAGCTATAGTACGTTTTGTTCATCCGTAGATGGATCTTTGGGTTGTTTCCCATTATGCATCAGGTTATGGATGTGCTGACCCAATCTCCTCAGTTAGCTGGAGAAGAGCAGCTGGTAGCACCTGGCCCCGGAGTACTAAGGATGGCGCAATGATGCTGCGAAGCTTTTAGGATCTGAGTGGCCAAAGGAGAGGGCAGTGTTTGTAAATGGGGTTCCTGGAACCCCAGGGAGGTCATGGAAGGAGCTGGGCGCTCCTGCCACCATTTGGTCAGCAGGCCCGGGACGCCCTGGCTCGCTCCCTTCTGTACCGAGGTGTGGAGAATGCTGCACATGAGGTCAGCGGGTACCGCCCTGGCTCTCCACTCTGCTCCATGAAGAGCACTGACCTGTCTCATATTTGCTTTCAGGATAAGACTGTGTTTCAGAGACTAAAACCCTACAAGTCCCTGGTCAGGAGGACAGAGCCCTCTGGAGCAGCAGTGGGCGGCCATTCCCCCAGGCGGCCAGAGCTCCAGGGGTGTGGGGGCCTCTCTGGAGGGTGAGCGTGCCCAGCCTGGAGATGGCTGCCGGCTCCCGGGATGGGGCACAGGAGGCCTCTCTGGGTGCCCGGGACTCAGCCTCCTGGAGGTTGGCAGGAAGGGATGGACCTCTCTCCTCCATCAGCCAAACTTCCCAGGGCCGGCGGTGAGTCCAACCTGGAGGGAGGTGCCCGCGGGCTGCTGTGCCCACACCAGCCACCAGGCTCCAGGCCCGAGGGAGCCATCTGGAGCAGGGAGACAGAAAAACAAGCGGGGATCTTTGTTTCAAAAATTCTGTTTGGAGAGCATGCTGGGATACGACGCTTGGACCAGGTTGGGAACTCGGGTGCCGAGAAGGAAGGAACCCAGCGCGGTGGGGGATGTGTCCACAGCTCCCGGCTCGGGCTCCTGACTCCCGGCCTCAGCTCCAGGTCCCTGACCACCCAGGAGCCGGTGCTGTGGGTCCCCCAGGGTGGGGTGGTGGGATGAGGGTCCACCAGCACCCGAGTGTCACCTGCCCACTCCTCCTTGTGCCCTTCTCACCCCCCCGAGTGTAGACAGCAGATGGCCAGTAGTCCTCCCGGGTGTGCAGTAACGCACTGGAGGACACACTCACCTCCCAGGGCATGCTCGGTCATACTGAGGCACAAGGACTCCAGCCTGTTGTTGATGTCAGGTTCAGTCACGGGAAGCTGGAATTCTGCAGGGGACAAAGGGTTATATTGGTGACAGGGTCTCTAAGAACAAGGAGAAAGTCTGCTTGGTGCCACCTGGCCCCACCTGCCAGGGTGGGAGGACTCAGGGGACCTGTCAGGCCAGCACAGAGGGTTACACTCAGGTTCAGCTAACCTCTGAGGTCTGTTAGACACACAGAGGCTGCTGTGAACATGGGTAGCTGGAAGAAAACCCAGTGACTAAAAATAGCTGGTCATAGTCATAGTCTGTCAGCCCTCTGCTCAGAACCCTCCAGCAGCTTCCCATCAGAGTAAAAGCCACCCCTGCCATGGTCTGCAAAGGCCCCACATGATCTGGCCTCTTGCTACGTCTCTGTCCTTGTACAGCTGTGCCCTCCCTTCACTCTATCCCAGGGCCTCTGCTACCCTAGGGCCTTTGCACTGCTGCTCCCTCTGTCCAGAATGCTGGTCCCTAGACGTTTCCATGGCTTGCTCTCTCCCTGCCTGCATGTCTCTGGCTCTACTGTCTCCTTATAAAGGACTTTCTGTTCACTGTATGTGAACAGAACCTCTCCCCCATGCCTTTCCTCTGCTTTCTCTTTCTTCGTAGCTGTCACCAACAGCTGACGTATTATGTATTTATCTGCTGCCTCCTGCATTGAGCGTCTGCTTCACTGGAGCAGGACGTGGCTCTGTTCCTGTGCCTAGAACCGGGCCTGGCGCAGGAACCACAGCACGGCAAGCGCCTCTTCTGAGTCCAAGACTGTGTTGGGTGCCCCATTCCCAAGCGGGGCTCAGATAGGCTCAGTGACTCGTCAAGGTCTGCCGGCTAACAGGGAGCTGAGACAAGAGCCCACAATGCTGACTCCAGGGGCACTGCTTGCCCGCAGTGCAGGCGGGTGCCAGTTGACCCTCTCAGCCCCAGGCGCTCAGAAGGAAGGGCCAAGGCGCCTGCTCTGCATGTTCCACTGCCCATGGCAGTGCTGTGTGCATTCTAACCTTGATGCCCTCTACCAGCTGACCTCCCTCTCTCTCCAGGCTCCAGCCCCGCCTCCTGTGAGTGGGATGCAGCCCTGGACCTCCTCCTCTGCTCTGCTGGGCCCTCACAGTCAGCACCCCCTTGTCCCTCGCCCTGTGGGGCTCCTGAACATCCGTAAGAGCCTGGAAGCACCTTGCAGACAGCAGCAGTGCTTGCATACACTGCTGAGTCTCCAGGAGACCTGGCCACGGCCTTCTGCACACCTCACACATGTCCACTGAGGGATGGAAACGACAGAGCAAGAACTAGGAGGATATCTGACAGCTGAGAATCTGAACCCCTACATGGGCAGCAGAAGAAGACTCAGTGCCGAGTGCCTGGGTGCTCCCAGCGTCGCCATGGTCTTCGTGGTGACCCTGGGGAGCTGCAGCCTTTGTTGGCCTCAGCTCTTCCACCTGTCAAGCGGTGAAAGGGCTGTGGCCCAGACTCAGGCCACTTCCTTGCTCCTTCGCGTCTCCCCGGGGGGCACTGTGGCCAGAGTGGGGAGGGCATTAAAAATGCAGTTGGCGGTTTGGTGGGATAGGAAGTTGAAACCAATGGCTAAACCACAGTATTTGTTTCCCTTGGTTAGCTATGCATTTAGGTCTCTGCAGTCTGTGTCCCCATTACAGCTAATTCAGAGGCAGATGTTGTTTCCGTTACTTAAAATTCTCAAAGAAAAGGTTGGCAAGTGGATCAATATGAAAAGTGCTGGGGAGCAGATAGGGTTCTTTCTGACCCAAGTTCTGGCATCGATGGATCTGGAAGACACCTGCACCAACTCCTGAGAGGGCAGAGGCCAGTCAGGCCTCTAGGAGCTGGAGCCAGGCAGAAAGGAAGGGTCTCGCCCACCCCACCCACTGTTTCCCTCAGAGTAGGGTCGGAGCAATTAGACAATCCAGAGAGAAGAGTATTTTAGTATTTTCATCCATTCATGTGAAAATCATATGCATGCAAAAATTAGCAGCCTTCAGGGTGTGAAATCTGTAAAATAGAAACACAATTTTATATATAGCTAGTTAGCAAATATGAAAAAAAAAAAAACCCTCAGCAATTATAGCCATCCATATGCTCATTGTAAAATTTAGTTTACTCTCTAGCACTCTCCTTTAAACAAACACTGTGGAGAGATTTGGATAAATAAAGATGCTCGACATTTGGAGAGAGAAGTGTTTCAGCTGCAGGATTTCTTGCCAACACGCAGCAAAAAGCCATTTTCCAAGCCTGGGATTGCATGTTCCAAAAAGGGGGCTGCAAAAGGCGGGGCTCTCCACTCCAGAATCACCAACCTCCGTGGCTGCTCTTTTAGGGTGAAAGTTGGCGTGCTTGCTTTTGATCCTCCAGCTCTTCTCTCGGGTGCAACGGGGAGTCGTAACCCCCACCACTCTCAGAGCGGCACTGAGAAATTCTAGTCTTGCGAGAAGCCCATATGTTCACACTCCAGAGTTTCCTAATAGTGTGACTTTTTAATTGTGTATTTGATAAAAACAGATCTGTGGCATCTCCCCCACACACAAGACAGAGGGAGACCAGCTGGATGGATAACAGCTTCCATCTCAGCCGAGAAGCCCTCAGCCACGTGTAGCTTGGTGGGCAGAGCTCTTAAAGCCTCAGAGAGGCACTTGGGCAGCTCCTGCTATGGCTGCTGCTGACCACAGGGCTCCCTGCGTTCATCTGGGGCCCCAGCTGTAACTGGCCAGGCAGATGTAGTTTCGAATCTTCAGTGAGGCAAAAAGGAAAGACTCGGAGATTCTCTGCTGTTGCTTAAAGCAGGCTCATTCCTTAGCTCAGACGACATCTCTGAGTACAAGAAATCCCCCCACTATCAGACCCTCCCAGTGATCTCTGAGTACTAGAAACACCCCCACGAGCAGGTCATCCCAGTGATCTCTGAGTACTAGAAATGCCTCCATGAGCAGGTCATCCCAGTGATCTCTGAGTACTAGCAATCCCCCTACTAGCAGGTCACCCCAGTGATCTCTGAGTACTAGACATCCCCCACTACCTGACCATCCCAGTGATCTCTGAGTACTAGACATCCCCCACTACCTGACCATCCCAGTGATCTCTGAGTACTAGACATCCCCCACTACCTGACCATCCCAGTGATCTCTGAGTACTAGACATCCCCCACTACCTGACCATCCCAGTGATCTCTGAGTACTAGAAATCCCCCACTACCTGACCATCCCAGTGATCTCTGAGTACTAGAAATCCCCCATGACCAGACCATCCCAGTGATCTCTGAATACTAGCAATCCCCCACTACCCGACCGTCCCAGTGTTTAGTGGGTTGCCCAGGGCCTAGGCTTCTTAATTCTGGCTTTCAGAAGTCACACACAAGTGCAGAGCCTAGTGCTCAGACTCAGGGTCAAGAAGATTCTGGAAGGGACAGCTGCCACCCCTAATAAGTTGCTGCTGCAGGGTCTACCTGGGGCCCCCAAGTAGCTTTTCCTTGGCAGAAACCAGCCATCCCAGCGGAGTCTCCCATCTGTGGCCCTAGGTGCAGTTCTGCAGCTTTCTCCGAGTCACTGAGGCTGAGGCAAGAGGTCATGTCTGTAGGACTTTAGAATCAGGTCAAGTCAGGGCACTCTAGGAGAAATCTTTAGAATCCCACTTTGCCAGAGTCCTGAGGCTACCCTGCTGAATAAGTAGGAAGACTCTGAGTCCATTAAGTGAGAAGCAGGGTTGGATGGACAGAAATCAGGAACGATGGGCTGGCGAGGGAGCGACAGACGATGGCGGAGTGGGAGCTGGAGTGCTGTGCTGAGGGGAGTAAGGAAGAAAGGCAGCCTAGAAGAAAGGGTGAGGTGGTCACAAAAGGAGAAGCCGTCAGTGTGGGCAGGGAAATGAGCCGACACGGCAGGTGAGATATCTCGGCGGGCACAGAGGACTGTGAGCGATGAGTCGCCCGTATCCGCTGTGGGGAACACAGCCTTTCTCTGGTGGCCTCATTCCTAACCTGCAGAGGCAAGTGCTGTGGAAATCCTCCTGGTCCCACACGTGCAGGAAAAATGACAAGGAGAATTTGGTACAAGACAATATTGTACCCTCTTGCCCCAAGCTGGTCTCCATGTGTGTGTCTCAGAAGCAGAGGCACACAGGCCCGTTGAGTTCTTGGCTGTGATGGGATGCATTCAGTGACCACCCTCCCTGCCCACGATCTGCCAGTCCTAGGCAGGGCTGTTTGCCTCCGCTTCCTAGAAGGAGGGCAGCACATGTTTATCAAGTACTTAAAGTCGGTCCCTATTTCGGTCAGTGCCTCTGCCTGGCAGCCCCTTCCATTCCCCTAAGGGACCCCGTGCACTGACGGCACTCTTCTTCTCTCCACTCTTTCTAAGAGCAGTTGTTCTCTGGAAGGAATCTGAAACTCACTCACACTAAGGAGGAAATGCATGACGACAGCCTTGTGTGCTGTGCTCCCAGGTACGCAGCATTCTCATGGTAGAAGAATTCCAATCGTGAGCCAGTGCATAGGGGAGGTTTGCTGTGGTGAACAGACATGTCACACCATGAAATGCTGCCATGTAAGGCAGCGTCTTATCCATCTCACATCTGAGCTGTCTCAGTTTGCACTTGGTTTTATGCAAGGGAAGGATGAGACCTCCCTAATGCAGCCCTGGGAGGCTGCCAGCCTACCCTTCCCTATGCTTTCCCTTTGAAACCTGCTTCTGGCCCTCTGCCCTTTCCTTGGTAGGCCCTTCAGGTGGCAAGGAGCCTCCAGGACCTCCTAGTGTCACCCTAGGGCCACAATGAGATCCTCTTTGACTAGATCCCAAGGGTGGCTGAGCCCAGGTCAACAGGAGCAGATCTGCTTCCAAGAAAAGGTATCATTCCGCACGCAGTTTCCAAACTAATATGGCCCTCGGAGGAACGCCACCATTCTCACTGGGCGCCACCCTTGTTTTGAGCTTGTCACCTCCCTAGTGAGTGTATTAGACCGTTGTCCCCCTGGCTCTGGGAGGACCAGCTTAGTGTTTCTCACTCATCCAGAGCCCAGCAGGAGGCGACAATCACCCGGGGGCTCTCCTGGCTTGTCCTGGGAGACATCTATGGCCTGTCCATGTGAGAGTACAGGGAAATCCACCCCGACACGGTCCCCAGGCCCCACAAATCTGCAGACCCAGGGAAGGAGGAAGCAGCTTGCAAATCCAGAGAGGTGACTGGTCAGCTGAGACATAGCTGGCGGGCTGCCAGGCTTTCCTGTGTTCTTTGGTGACATGTAGAGTCTTCCATCATCTTCATGGAATTATTTTAAGTTAATGGAATCACAGCTTCCTGCGAACTGCACTGTGGTCTTCAAAGTTTGCCCACGTGGTTTCAGATGGATGCTCTGGATGGCCGGGAGGAAACGCCACATCATATGTAGCACAGCTTTCTCAGGACGCACTTTTGGGTCAGCCACACATCTCTATTCCATTTTGTGTCAGCATCACTACTGCTCGTGTGAAGAGGAAAGCCGCTTCCTGCCTCCCTGATGGGATCCCTAGAGTCTAGTCCTGCCCACTGGCCAGCAGACCCCCGACGCCTGCCCAGCAGACCAGGATGTGCGGGCCTGAGTGGAAGGGCCATCTGCGGAGGAGACGAGCCCAGCCCACCTCTAGGAGACCCTGGCTCTCGAGGATGAGCCTCCGTCTGGGCCGGTGGTGGCCATTCGAGAGGCTGCCCTGGGAACAGGCTGCCTCCTCAGGAGGAAGGAAGAGTTCTGACGCAACTCGAGGCCTTAAACACCAATGCCTGCTCTGCAGGGGCCCGGGATGCCCTCCAGCCTCGGGCAGCCTGCGTGGGGCCTCCTTGCGCCTGTGGTCGAGACCCACGGCGCCAGGTTCCCTCCGCCAGGGAGCCTGGCCATGGCTGTGCTCGGCCTTGCCCTTCACGACCAGGTCCCAGGAAGAGCCCCCCAGCATGGGCCAAGCGTGCCGGGCAGGACTAGGAGCGGCCACTGCTGAGCGCTCGCCAGGGTGCCGGCAACGAGGAAGTGTGGACCAGCCCCGTGCCGGAGCGGTGGCTGCCTTCGGAAGCGCTGCCCTTCGCCAGGGCCCTGCTGAAAGCGGGTTCCTAATCTTGGGCAGAGGCTAAATAAAAACAAACCAACGAACGAACCTCGAGCGTCTCAGAGTTCTGAGTCCCGTACACAAAGAACATTATTTAGACACTTGCATGGAACTACCAGGAAAACCAAGAGCAGTGGTGAGAGGTTGCCTCTGGGAGGGGAGCAGAGGGGACAGTCACTTTTCCTCATGGGCCCTTCTGTATTACTTGATTCTTTAACTTTGGGAACAAGAGGCTTCCTGGGAAGAGGGTGGAAATGACCTTTGGGTCATAGCTGTGCTGGGCATGAGGCCACCACGCAGTGCTGCTGTGGACTGCGGAGGGGAAACACAGGAGCGGAGGGAGGACCTGTGTCAACAGGCCCAGCGGCCCTCCTCCCGGGTATGGCCGGCTTTTCCCCAGGCCTGGCGTTCTCAACGGAGACGGAGACCGTGGGGAAGGTACGGCAAGAACAAGGAGGACTGAGGACTTGCAGAGAGCTGCAGGAAGGGAAAAAGAGGTTAGAGAGAAGAGAGAAGGCTGCAGACGTGCTAGGACTGAAGGAGAGCAGTCAGCTGTGCTGGGCCCTGTGAGGCTCCAGGTGCTGGGCTACAGGCCCGGGACCGAGGTCAGGGTGCAATGTTCATTCAAGGTGAACGAGCTCCTCGTGCCCAGGACGTCTTCAAATCTTGTCCAGATTCTGTTTTTATTGGGAATGGATTACACATAATTCTGCATGAAAACAGAGGCTGGAACTACCAAGGGAGAAGGCCTCTGCAACCCCCAAATTTCATTGAGTATTTCTTCCCAGGAAGAAAAACAGCTATAAGTATCAAACTGGAGAAAAGGAGCTTTAAAACAAAGTGTGCAATAGGAAGGTTCTAGAAGTCAAGAGGCAACTTTAAACAAGCATCTGGACGTGCAGATGACCTCTCCTTTCTGGACACACTTTACCTTGTGGCGGCAGCTCCTTGCAGTCAGTGTCCTCCCCGTCCTCCGTGGGCCCCAACCTCCATCCTGCCTCCTCTCCCTCCTCTGTGCACACTCCTGCCTGACCCCTCAGCTCAAAATCTTCCACAGATTCCCCACTGAGAGTGGCCAGGTCTGAGCTCCTTGGCCTTGGATTCGGAGTCCCTGCCACTGGCCGCCATCTTCCCAGCTCCCTTGGTCTATGAGCTGCTTCTGCAGCCCGACCCTTGGGCCCGGCCACAGCTGGGACGCACTGAGGCCCTCTGCAGTGTTGCTTCCTACAGCTCCGCTCTCCTCTTTCCAGTTCTCCCCCCTCTGTCCCTTGAAGCTCAGCTTAATTCCGAGAAGCTTCCTTGCACCCCCCAGGCCACAGTGACATTTTCCTTCCTTAAACTCTGGTAAGACGTGTCCAGAGTGCGTCTACTCTCCAGGGTGGGCATTTTCCTACAGGTACAACACATGTCTGCTTTACCCACCTAGAAGGTCATCTCAGTTGCCGTGGTGATGGCTTGCGTGGCCTTGTACTACTTGTGGAGTCTAAGAGGTTACCGTCTGTCTAGGCAAAGGGTGCGAGCATTGGTTGGCTGCATGTAATTCTGGCTACTCTGTGTCAGGAGGCGTGCTGAAAGGAGAGGTGGACTGGAGGTGCACTGAGCTGCTCTTTAACCAAGGAAAGATGACTGGTCCCACAGCCATGTCTGCAAGGCCTCTTAAACCAGGGGCGGGTCTCTCAGCGTCAACATCGTCAAGTTTTCTCTTTCTCTGTCTCACTCTCTACATATCCCCCCACATACACAACCACCACACACATACACTACACAGGGAACCCTTCCCACCTCCCCCCAAAAGCCCTCCAGGGATATCTCTGGTTTAACCAATGTAGAAATATGACTAGTATCAAAAATATCCCCCATCAGATTGCAATTGACTCTGGGGGCTCCATGTGCTGGCCCCCAGCCAACCTGCCGCTATGCACACTGGCAAGGCACAGTTTAAAAAAGGAAAGGCTTCTATAAGCTCAAAGGAATGCGTGGCCACAGCTGAGCCTAAGCACCTTCCGGCTGGGTTCGCCGGGGCATCTGTTTTGGCATCCTGGCTTCCCCTCTGTCTAGGGGAGGGGGCGGTGAGGCGCGCGGGCCTACCTGGCTGCTGGAACATCAGCATGCTCTGCGGAGAAGTGTGCACGGGCAGCGAGCGGGTCCTCTGCACTGAGCTGTGGCTGCGGCTTGGCATGCTGTTGCTGCCCCCGGGGTTGGCAAACCAGAGGTTCTAGTGAGAAACACCAAGGGGGAACCAGTTAGTCCAGACACATGGGGTGGGGGTGGGAGTGGGAGCAGGGCCCCTGCCAGAATTCAGGAGGCAGACACCCCTGAGGACTCTCTGCTAACTTCTGGAAGAGGGCTTGCAGGCCAGTGCTGCCTATCTGCATATCTGCAGAGAGGGGCTTTAGTCCCCCATTCCATCACGGCCCCCGCCCACTCCAGCCCGGCCCTGCTCTGAGCTGCAGCTCCGCCTGGACACCCATCTCCCTCGCTGTCTCCAAGCTCTTCTTGCTCCTTTGTTGCCTTTGCTTTTCCTGTCACTTTTCTTGGAAATGGGGGGACTTCTATAAATGTTCGCAGTGAAGAGCACAGACTATTTCAGGGTTCTCATTTGATTTTCTTTTTGAGATTCTTACAATTTACTACAAAGCAAGAAGGAGAAAAAAAAGATCTCAGCTGGCAACGAGCTGGCACGACTCGGCTTGCATGTTTATTACTAGTCGGGGGTCCTAGCAGTGACTTCCTCTTGAACCAATCCGGGGGCTTCCCACAATGGTCCGAAAGCGGGGCTTTCCCATCTGGGGCTGCTTCCCCTGGGGAGGGGGTCCCGGCCTGTCTTGCCTGGAGCTGTTTTCCTGTTTTTAATCCAATCTGTCATTGCTTAGTTTCCCTTGACAACCCAGAACCTCAGACCCCCTTGTGCCCCTCCAGTCCCAGCCCCTGCCTGCAGAGCCCCCAGTGCTGCGGGGTCCCCAATCCTACGGAGCCACCAGTGCTGCAGGCCCCCAATCCTATAGAGCCCCCAGTGCTGCGGGGCCCCCAATCCTACGGAGCCCCCAATGCTGCGGGGCCCCCAGTGCTTGGGCTCACCAGTGGAAGGTGTCAGGTGGGTTGGGGAGGACGAGTGGGGTTCTAAATCACACAGGGACAACCCCCGGGCAGCTGGCCTTGACTGGCTGAGAATGTTTCATCCTCCCTCTGACAGCCTCTCCCAGGCTCCTTCCTGTGGATTCTCTGCCACAGCTGGGAGCATGGCAAAGGAGCTCTTTGCCTCGGATAAAAGGCTAGGAAAGCTCCACAAATGCTCAGGCTCCCCTGGCAGCCAGAGCTGGGAGACAGTGAGATCTGCTGGGGCAGGTCACAGATCAAGGCAAATAAGAAATAGGTCTTGCCTTTCTTCCTCAAGGCCCCCATGTGCAGGGCCCCCAAGATTAAAGCAGTCGTGGGGCATCCTAAGCAAATGCCCCAGAAGCCAGGTGCAGCCCCAGAGAAACAACGCAAACAACGCTGGTCACCTCTGAGCACAAGGACAGCTCTCCCTCACTTTAGGCCCCCTCGGCCTCTCCCCTCACCTTGGGGTCATCAGGGGACTTCCTGAAGCCTCAGGCCCTGCACTTGGCTGCCCATCCTCCTCCCTGGGGTGCAACAAACCTGTCTTCCTTGCTTCATGATGGTGGGGTTGGCTGCGGTGCTGCGCGGGGTGGAGCTGACGAATCCACTGGTGCCCAGGAGGCCGATGCGGGCGGAAGGCATGCTCCGCGAGGGGATCTGGTACTGGCGTGGGTTCCGTCTGCCCATGCCGCCACCCACAGAGCCGGCCGTCGGGAGGGAGTTGGACTGCCCGAAGCCGCGGCTGGCAGGGGAACAGAGCAGAACCGAGGTACTGTGAGCCACCCTCAGCCCTGCCTGCCCCCGGGCTGCCAGCAGGACGCCTCCTGGGGGTCCGCTCACATTGTGACAGTTATGATGCCTAGGGGGGTGGGGGTCTATGCCAGGAAAGGGCTATGATTAAAATGAGAGCTACTCCCTGAGAGCAAATATCACGTGTACCGCCCTGGGACGTCTACACTGATTATTCAGTACTCATGACAACCCCATGAGGGAGGTGCTCTGTCCCTTTGTACAGCTGGAGAAGTAAAACAGAGAGCCTAATAATTTCATGAAGGTCACACAGCCATTAGGGGGCAGCGGTGGCATATGAGCCCAGAAGGTTAACCAGTGAGCTCTTCAGTCTTCTCCATGCGGCGTCCCAGGCCCTGAGCACTCACATGCCGTCAGGAGGCCACACAGCAAGAAGGTGGCCAAGCCACGGGAAGTGCTGCTTCCCTCATCCCACAGTCCGCTTCTGACGTCTGTCTGTGCAGCACGCTTGGAGAAAATGGCCTGGGAGCCCCAGTAGGACGTAAGCTCCATGAGAAAAAAGATGATATCTGTCCTGACCAATCCTGCATGGCCCACGGCTGGATCAGCTCCTGGCACAGTAAACGCAGGCTGAACGAATGAATGAGCGAATGAGTCAGTCTCTGCCATCGTGATGCCTCTCCAGATGACCCCATGTCTGGGGCTCTGACTCCCGGTTGAGAGGAGGGATATGGGGACAAAGATGATGTTTGCAAGTGCTCTGGACCTAGGGCCCTGACTGCTCCCCACTCTACAGGCCCTTCCTGCAGAAAGCCCTGGAGGTCACGTGCTTTGCCTGGGTCCATGCAGGAGGCTGCTGGGGACCCTTGGCAGTGAACTCAGACGCCGTGCTCCCTTCGGTCCGGTGACCTCAGCGCCAAAGAACTCGTCCTCCCCAACACGCGGCAGGCTCTACGCGGGTGCGCAGAGGCCAGCAGGGCTGCAGGAACCAGCACATTCTTTCCAGGAAGAGTCAGCTTTAGTCATTCACTGACGTTTAAGCCGAAATGCTTTACCTCCAATGGCCACAAGATGGAACAGACTGCTCTCCCAGCCACACAGGGGAGGTCTGCAAGGAGCCAGCGAGGAGACTCCGGGAGACGGGCTGACGTCGTCTGAGCAGCTGAGGATGAAGGGGGCTGCAAAGCAGTCATTTCCTGAGAAAGAGAGGGCTGTGTGTAGGAGGAGGGGCGGCTAAGCCATAGGCACAGCTGATCTTGGAAAATGTTTCTCTTCTCTCCAGAATGCCTCCATTTCCCAGGGAGAGAGGGGGCAGGGAAGAGAACTCCACAGTGGGCTGGCTGCAGCTGGATTCTGGGCTTGTCTCCACTTCCAGGCTTCTGTGGTCAAGGAAAAGGTTCCCGATTCCAGGCCGGTGCTCATCTCCACGCGGGGGTAGGCGGGCGCTCACGGGTCTAGGTCTCTCTGTCTGTCTCATCCTGTCTCCCTTTTTACCCCTCTCCCGTCCTTTACTAAGGCAACATTTTTGGTTTGAGAGAAGAAATTCAGAGCAGGAGGGGTAGAGCCATCCTCGTGATGGGAGAGACCTCCTCTGGAGGAAGGACTATCTGAGATGCATGACAGCTGGAGACAAGGGTCAGTGGTTGTTTTTCTGCAATTATGAAAACTAGTTCTTTGGTTCCTGGAGTCAGAATTTTGGCCACCTGGTAGATGATTCGGTGTTCTGCGAAGACACTCCTAACTCAGTGTGGAGAGCTCTTTTGCTTGTTTTCCTTTTCTGTTGGATTTTTAAAAACTTATTTCGTATGCAAAATACAATAGTCAATGATTGATGCTAAACTGATTTGTGCTTCCAGGAAGGCAAGACTATTTTCTTAAGCAATATAATGTGAGCAGAGAATTCTGGTAGGGGACACTTAGTCACTGGAGAGTGAGGGCTGTGGGAGCACCTGAAGCCAGGACTCACGGAGCTGGGCTGTCTCCAGTGGGTAGAGCCCAGAACATGTTGGGGACAGGATGGATGGGGAGTAGAATTTGGCCAGGCTATCTTTCTAATGAGGGTGGGGCCCTACTGTGGTGACCTTAGTTGGTGTTACAAAGCCAGACTTGAGGGCTGCCACTGCTGGCAGCCAGAGATAACACTTAGGTTACTTAAGATCACTAGGCTTAATGAAATAATCATTCTTTCTGGGGAGAGAATGAAGTGATGAGTCAAGTTTTCATTTTTCATTCTCTTGCTCAGCTCATCTGTGTCTCTCTTTCTCTGCTTTCTTAAATCTAACTAACTGATTTCATTACCTTGAAATGCGTGAAAAGATTGATAAATTAACATGAATAAGAACCAATTAATTTGGGATTTGTGATAATTCAAGCAGAGGCTGGGCTGCAGTTACCTTTGTAATGTCAGAGAAATAGGTCTTCAAAGCAAACTAATAGCATAAAAAGGTCTCAGAGGTAATAATTATGAGAACAATTATTTTCTAAAGCTTAACAACTTCCAGTTGAACATCCACGATCAATGACTGAATTCATTCTTACGGAATCAATAAAAAGCAGTCCATCAGGACTCCAATCTGCCAAACCGTGGGTTAGCCCAATACAAGCGCTAGTTTATAACACTCTAGAGAGGTCAAGGTCACTGCCCCTGCGCCACTCTAAGTGGGCAACTCTGACGCGGACCAAGGACAAAGCGGGGCAGACAGAGGCGGGGGATGACACTTCTGGGAGGAGGAGCAAAGAGCTCAAAAGCTCCATCTTCATCTTCAACCTCTAAATTCCTTCTTCCTCTTGGAACTTGTCTCCCAGGGCCCGGTGTTGCAAGAAGGGTCTGGGACCTCCTCCTCACTTGGGAGAGGCACTGCTGCCCTCACAAGAAGACAGAGAGCCTGGGAAGGGGGTAGCTCCAGGGGAGGAGGCTGAGGAGCAGGCCTGGCCTTTCATCTGGGCCCCCAGGAATCCTCAGAGTGCACAGGTAGTGCAGCCCAACCCAGGGAGGCCAACCTCAGAGGGCTTGGGGCCAGGGAACTGGCAACAAAGAGTGTGGCTTTGCCTGATCGTCTTTTCTATACATCACCGGAGACCATGAAAGCTGCCTGGTATCCAGAGAGGCTGAGACACTGACTCTGCAGCTGGCGCTGACCTGCCTGGTCCAAATCCCGGATGCCTCTGCCTACCAACTCCTCTGTAAACTGAGGTTAATAATAGCACCTCTACCTCATGTGGTTGTTGCAAGGATTAAATGCATTAATATTCTTCAAGTGCTTGGATACCACTTGACGCATAGGAAGTGCTACATGTTTGTTTAATAAATAACAATGTTAATATATGCTGAAATATGATAACACTGTAATTTTTACATTAATCTTCAATGAAGACTGTTCACAAATTCCAACTGGCCTTATCTCCCTTAAATAATATAAAACAGTAATGTTTTAAGGCACACTTATGCAAATAAATACCAAAAATTTTAACAACACAGACAGAGCTTCTATATATGCACTGAGAAATGAATTTAGAGCTTTATAGGTACAGGTGAAAAACTGTTGTTTATATGCTCATGTTTAAAAATGTAAAATAGAATGTTGATTTCTCAGGACGTTGCATCATCGTTCCCTTGTCTCCCTGAAACTCTCCGTCATTGTTCAAGGCTGAACACCACCCCTCCCCGCAATTCCTCCCCCATTGCCACTGTAATTCACCTTTAATATGCAACTGGATTCCTCAATTTAAAACCAGATTAAGGTAACAGTTCCAAAGTACAAGCAGGCTTCATTTAACTGCATCCAAGAAGCTGAAGTACTATGAAAAATCAAGAATGGTACTGCTCCACTCTTAGATTGCAGCTCAGACCAAAATAGACTAGCACTGGGCTCTTCACCCTGCCACCAACTATAATTAGCTTGTCTGCAGCTAGAAGGGAGAAAGAAAAATCACACTACCACTTAAGGTGCTGATAGAACAACACATTTTTGTCCTTTCAGAGCCCCCTTTTGTGGATAAACCACCAAGCATTTTGCTGGCATTCATTAAATCACACCACTTTCCCCTTGGTGCCCATCTGGACTGATACCGATGTCATTTTGACAATATAAACTGAGTTACAGAAGATCACACTCAGCTCTTCCTCTGGGAATGCTCTCTCTACAGCCTTTTCCCAACCCCATCTGCTTAAGGAATGTGATTTGCAGTTCAACAGGGCATCCTGTTGAACAAGGAATGATGTCCTGCCCTAGTCCTGCCCCAGGCACCCGGGCATCCCAACAGGAAATGAGACCCTGCAGAATCACCATGCGTGGCAAACAATGAAATCTCAACATACTTTCTCTGCTGTCGATATCCTGATATGTCTAGAAGGGTTTTCCGAGGGAAAGACCGGAAGAGCTTCTGCACCTGCTGTTTCCATGACAACAACCTTTTTTTCTGTGTCTCTGTAAATGCCTGCAAAAACAAACAGGACTTTTTAATGGATGACGCAGCCTGGCATTAGAGGGAGAAACATGAAATTAATAGGGGAACATCAGAGTCTCTGCATCTGTCTGTTTCCAACCTGGTCCAAACAGCAGTCAGTTGCAGCTAGGAGCTGTCCGTACTGAAAATTCAAGTTATTTGACATTGGAGGTGCCTGGGAAGGTACACGCATTAAGCTTTTGACAACACTCGTTTTTGGGTGCATTTCTGGCAGATCCATTCCCACCTTCCCTTTCCTCCTGTCTCCACTCTGGACTCTATTTACTAACCAAGAATGAATTGCAAAACAGATTGTTGAGTACTCAAGCTTTGGCAGGGCCCTGCATTTTCATAATCAACGGAAATGCTAAACTACTCCAAAAATCAATCCACTGGATGGTGTGTGGTCACCCCGGAGTGGTCTGCGGGCCTTTAGAAAATGGAGTATAGTCTCTGTGTTTCAGGGCTTTGTTGAGAAATCTCCAGTTAAGGGGGCTCCATGCCCTTATCCTGACCTAAACTTTGTTTAAAGTTTAGGAAAATGGGTAGATCTGACTACTTTTCAAGTCTTGACTAGTAAAATGGGTGTTTGGGGGATATTTTGCTTACACTGTCATCTGTATCATGTGTCCTGTGGCCACCATGGCCCAGGGAAGGACTTTCTGGGAGTTATGAGTTCCCAAAGCAGAGCATCTCAAATTCATGATCTATTAGAACCCACCAAGGAGACTGTTAAAGGCAGATTCCGGGCCCTGCTCCCACACACCCGGAGCCCCATTAACAGACCTGGAGGGGAGTCTAGGGAGCCTGTGCTTGGAGCAGGTGCCCTGGCAATTCTGCTGCGTGCAGAAAATGGACATGTGGTACTCTAGACGGGGAAACTGCGCCTGCAGTACAGAGCCCTGGCAAGGGCCTGGCACTGTGGCCCACATGCCGTGGGAACTCCATCAAATTTGACTGCATAGTTTTGTCAATAAGGCATGAAATCCTTGAAGAAGCAATAAACTATTACTTAGAGTAACAGACTACATGACTATTTCCCATGAAGGAAACAGAGAAAAAAATGACAGCTTAATTTTCTCCTGATGACATTTAATCTTCAAGGACCTAAACAAAGGAGAGCTATGCGAACAAAAGCAAAAAGATGTTAGTTGTATTGTAGAAAAGTAATTGATTTGCAAATCCCTTCCTCCTAGGTGACCTTAGCCAGATGCCATTAAGGATATTTATCAAGGAGGGCTACCAACCCAGGGACTCAGTGCTCCATGGAGAAAGAGGTGCAGACCCCCCATTAAGGTACGTGGTGGGATGGTCTCAAGGCTAAAAGGTGAAGATGTGGATCCCTCCGTGGTCCCTCTCATTTGCTAGTGATGCTCGGTGAGTGTCCAACTCTACATGAGTCCCTCTGAAGACTGCAAAGGCATGCGTTTCTGCTGGACTAATAAAGAGAGGGATGGACAGATTCTGCTTTTGACCAGCTTATTCAGCCAAACGTTGAGTGAGGACACAAGGTGCAGGTGTGCTGGTCAAGATGACTTGGAAAGGAGGGTCCAGCCCAGTGGTCAGAGGAGGGCTCTGGATGCATATGGGCAGGGCTTGAGTACCTGTACACCCTCATGCAAGTTCCTCTCCTGAGACTCAATTCCTTCTAAAAACTGAGGATAATAATCCCTCCCTCAAAGGGACAATGTAAGGACTAAACGAGATAACACGTGACAAGCACTCAGAATACTCTAAACATGACTAGCTCTCAGCAATGGTTCAACATGAGCTGCCCACAGATCCTCCCTCCGGCGGCATAGACCAAACCTTTGGTGGTGGTATATGAGTGTTCATCTCACTTGGTATTCAACAATCACCTTGAGCCCCAGGAAAGGACTTCAAGGTTTCAACACTACAATACTGAACTCGTCTGACGCCAGCCCAAAGGACAACTGGCCTGAGTTGCAAGTGACAAAGGAGTGAATGGCTCACTTTACAGATGTGCATTCAAAGTGCTTCCAAGGACACCAGTTCATACATGACATCTGCCATGGTGGCAAAGAGCATCCAAAGGTGGAGATGTTTACTCCCCTCCTGCCCCCCACCCCAGAGGGCAGCTCATTCACTCGACACGGGAGCATCAGGCTCATTTAGCTCTGGGGTGCAGCGCTGAGCGAGTGTGGCAGCCGGTTCTTTGCAGGCCAGGAAGCTGCAGCTGGGAAGCTCGGGCAGCAGCTAGGTCATGGCTGGCTCCGAGTGATTTCTGAAAGCTGGTTCCTGGGTGCGCCCGCAGAGTAGCAGTCTGTGGTGGGAGCTCTGCTCTTGGCTGGAAGGGCTGATATCTCACCTCGGCCCCTCCACTAGCAGCTCTGGGCTACGGTGCAGCAGCTTCCTCAGGGGCTGGAGGGGAGGGAAGATTCCACACTACAGCTTGCTCAGACACAGCCAGGCAGCCACTCCCATAGTCCTCTGTCCCCGTCAGGCCAAAACCAATAAGTCTATCTGGAGGAAGATGTGTCCTACAGCTTTTGTGGTTGGATTAAAGGCTCATAAAGGGGGCAAGAGCTCATCTTTCCAGAACCTTCTCAAGATGGTGAGGCAGGTAGCCTGGGATTATAATCCAGGAGACAAAGCAGTTGGTCTCAGATACAAAACGCAGACTTCCCCGCCTGTCTGTTCCCTGCTCTAGGGAGTCAGCCCCTCCACCTCTGGAAGGAAGGAAGGCGTCTGGGCTCAGTCAACACCCTCCCCTTCGAGTCGGCTAAAGAACAGCACGCTCAGGCTGTGAAAGGGAGTCCTGTCTCTCCCGGCCCAGGCCAACCTTCAGCCAGGACGGAGACCGTGCGCCTCTGCGGGGCCTCACGGGGAGGGTGTGTGCTGCACACAGAATAACCCGAGGCTGTGGAAAATTATTCAGACGCGTTTCCTCCTTTTCGAACTAAAATAATAAAGTCTTGAACAACACTTTCCTTTCCAAAGCAGAGCGCAGGCCCCTCCATCCTGACATGAACTCAGGCAAGCAGACACGGCACGAGCTCCTCCCTGCATGATGCCCATTTGCGAGAGCCCCTGGCCCCCAAGCAGCCGGGCCCCTGCCAGCAGGGCGCCATCCTCACATTGAATCACTTGGGGCCGCCAGGGAGGAAAAGGGGAAAGAAAGAGAAAACTGGAGGGAGAGCTGGGGTGCTCAGAGAGGGCAGGAATGCGAGAAGCCACAGGCCAAAGCTCCAGGGCTGGCGGAGGCCCTGTGTTCTGTCTCGGGGGCTCAGCAGCCCGAGGCGAGGTGGAAGCTTCTGTCCTCCCAGCTCTTGAAGGCCCAGAGTGAGAGCAGGCGTGGGAGAGGGAGCGGAGCTCCGATTTGCTTTCTCAGAGGTCTAAATCCTCCCCTGTGCAGCGCCCTGAAACCCACTGCAGGCGTCTTCCTCCCCAGCAAGACAGAGCGCCCCCCCGCCGCCCGCCTTCCCTCCTAGGCTCCAGCTGGCCTTCAGCTCTAGCGTGGAGGCAGCTCCCGGGAGGCAGTGCCGCTCCCTCGGGGCTCCGTGGCACGTGGGACGGCCCTCTCAGAGGCTGTGTCATTACATATGTGATGCCCTGTTTCCTTTCGTCTCACCCACCACTCCACACCAGAGGCTACCTAGCCAGGGACAGGGCCTAGGCACTTGATAAATATCTACGGGATGAATGAGTTCTAGAATTCGTCAATGTACTCTTGCCTTCTCTTCTGTTGTCACTTTTTGCTGGTCAAGACAAGGGCAGCGTCCGGACTGGAAACAGGAAAGGTTAGTCTACGATTGGTAGAAGGGACACACAAGAATTCAGCTACTGTGAGAGGAAATCGCAAAAATGAGGGTTTAGAGGATAGGGGAGAGGTGGCTGTGCTGGACACCCAGAGGGAGACTGTCCACCTGGGGGAGGGCGGGCAGAGTCAGGCTGCAGGAGGGTGGAGGGCTAAGAACCGAGCCAGCCCGTCAGCAGCAGACATGCCTATGAGGGAGCTGGGAGGGTGGGTGAGGCCAGACCTCTGTGCAGACTGTCTCCCTTCACTGGGACCCACTGGACTCCTGGGGTTGTGGATGCCAACACGGCCAAGGTGAGGAGACCTGGAGGCCTTTACCATCTTACTCTCATGTCAAAATCCCACAAAAAGACCCCGGGACCCTAGGTTTATTGGGTCCTAAGTTTTCTGAAACCTAGACCTCGTCTCTGTATCTCTTTGTGGGGGGGTGGGGGGGTATTGCACACAAGAAGCCACTGGAGTCCTAGATTTGAGGCACAACCCTGCCCGCACGTGTCCCTCGGGGCAGCCACCAGGGTATAGGGCTGTCCCAGCCCATCCATGCCATTGCTCGAGGTGAAGATGGTGCACTCTCTGAGAGCCTGGGAGGCACAGCTCCAGCCTGCCTAGTCCTTCAAAAGGACATATGGCTAAATACAATTCCAATAAAAATCACAAATCAAAACAGTGGAACAGCCATCAAACCACACACAACATACACACAAACACGCATGTTGCGTACCCTCTCTTTCTTTCTCCCTCAAATTTCCCTGAGCCAAAAGGCAAAATGTTTCAACACAAAATTTTAAACATACTTGACAATGCCAAGGGCTAGAGGGCAGGGCTGTGTGTTAACCACCCAGGGTGGTCACTCAGGAATTCTTCTGGAGTCAGAAGTTTCTCTCAGGCTTTCACCCTCACATCAGAACTCAGTCTAAAGAATCTTTGGACACCAAAGTAATATACAAGCTGTGTTTAGGGTTGAAGCCACCATAGCTGAGTTCTGCCTGAATTACTATTCGTGACCGTCCCCCCTCAAGAACAAGCTGTCAGAAACCCAAATGATCACATCACAGACGCTCTGAGAACCATTTCTAAGCAATGAGAAAAAGTTTTGTGAAACCTGTCACTACTCACCTCATGAATTAGACATTTGTCTATGAGCTGTAAATAAGAACTTATATTCTCCTCATCAGGTCTGGAGACCAAGAGCTGTGTGCACACTGTGAATTTAAAAAAAAAAGGGAGATGAATTAGAAAAATGCACGCTCATTTTAACCTCTGAGATCTGCCTCTGATTTTCTTTCAGGACCAGTATTTTGAGAAGTATGTGGCCTGTGGCTTTACGTAAGGGTCACAAAAAAAGGCCAGGAGGTTCCTCATTCCACGGAAGTCAAAGGCTCGGTCACCACGGGAGCCCTCGCCTCGAGAAGCCCCTTCGGTTCATTCCAGGCATGCCATTCTATATTAAGCCTTCCGCGATCCAGCCTGACAGACATTCTGGGAGAGAAGAACGCAGCAGTGTCCTGAGCTCTATCTTTGAAAGACGCTCCTTTTGAGAGGAAATTCAAAAACAGTCAAGACCACTGACGTTATCAGAGAGCTGTCTCCATAATTTTATGAATGAACTGGTACCTTGTTTGGAGAAATGAGGCTGACGTATCTTTTAGGATGCAAGGTGTGTGGGCGCGCACACGAGCGGGAAGCCTGCTACTCAGACCCTGGAGGGTTGTTTTCTCAAAAGCGCACATGCATCTATACACACACAGGTTTGCCTGCACACTCAAGTAAGTGCTAACAGAGACACAGCAAAGTTAGTCTGCGGGCAGAGCACATCCCCACTGGATTTCTCATGGCACATTGGTGTAGCCCATTCTACTGTTATCCTGGAGGTCTCGGTGCTCTGATTTTGATGGTAATGTTTAGAAAGCCACAGTGGAGATTGTTGCACAAAAGACATCAAGTAGAAGTGAAAATGCCTTGTGCTCAAGTAGCACAAGCTTGAAGCCTGGGCATTAGACTTCCCTGATCCTTTGGAACCAGCCTGTCACAGACCCCCATTCATACCATGTCCTTGCAGACAGATTGCAGTATAGCATTGTTTCTAACAACAAAGGCTTGGATACCACCTTGATGTCCATTAATTGGGGCCCTGCTAAATAAATTATGGTTTATGCAAACAGTGGAATAGTATGCAACCTTAAAAAGAACAAGGTAGTGCCATTATATTGATAGAAATATTCAAAGTATGTAATGTAAAAAAAACATGTAAACAAGACCTTTTTGAGTGTGAAAGGATACTCACGTGCATGTATATGATTAGAAACTTTTGAAGGGGTAGTCCAAACTTGTTTCTAGTGGTCACCTCTGGGGAGGAAGATGGTGTGGCTTGGGGTAGGGGTCTATTTTTTACCTTCTGCCATTTTGTTTAGTTTTGATTTTTTTATGTTGAGAATGAATTTATTTTGTAATTTATTTGAAAGTAGTTAAACTTTAAAGAAAGGCCGTGCCAGAGGAGTGTGGGTCTTCTGAGGGGTGAGCCCACCATGGGTCTCATCACATGGAAGGGGGGCAACCACTCCCATGGATATCTTCACCCAGAGGGTCACAGAGCGGAAAGCCCAGCTGGGGGTGGGGGAGCGAGGAGGTGAATGAGAGGAGGCCATGGACCAGGGTGGCCTGGCCATCAGGCTGCTGGCATTTCAGCTCCAAGGGATGGTACACGTCATCTCCTCTGCACCAGATTTCTATGGATTTGTCCTTTTTAGGTTATGTACCATGGGGAGTTTCAAGACTCAAGTGTCCATTTCTTTTGGTAAAAACTTGGGTCTTTAAAATGATTTGAAATATTGTACAATAAAGAAAAAAATGTTTCCCTTTCCCAAAGGAAAAGTACTGGCATTCACTACATTTTTTAAATAATCAAGATTTTTAGCAAAACATCCCATAAACACAAATTATTCTAGCACTGGACATCGTCAAGGACATGTGGATAAAGCTCTGACCCGGGGCACAGGGCGGGCCAGGTGGAAAGGACACTCTTTCCCAGACGACGCACGGGAATTCTGTCCTGTCCGACAGCACGCACGCAGCCTGGCTGTGGGACCTGGAGTGGTCCGTGGTAAGGATGGACTTTAGCCTGAGGTCCAAAGGCCCAGTGAGTGCTCTACCAGGAGGGCCCGGGGCACCCTGGTCTGAAGGAGTGGGAGAGGAAGGAGACAAAGCCAAGGAAGAGGCTTTCTGGGGTCAGAGAGATCCGAGTTCAGACCCAAACGCCTGGACCCCTCTGCACCGTACTTTCCTCCTCTGTACAGTGGGCTAATGACATCCACTCTGGCAGACAGCTTATCCACACATGGGGAGCCCCGCAGGCACTGGCAGCTCTGGTTAATGGTGTGGAGAGAAGAAAAGGGGGGGCGGGAGAATCAGGCTGTACCTTTCCCCATGACACGTGTGAACTGCCCGGGGAGATCCCCCTCCGGCAGGGGAGCGACGGCCAGCTCCCCCTCACAGCTGCTCAGCGGGTGTGGCTGGAGCCCGCCGCTGGCCCCAGCTGAGGTGGTGGCGGTGGCGCCAGTGGCCACGGCACTGTCTTTGCAGTCGGGGCTCTGGCTCTCGGGGCCCATGAGCGAGGCCTGGGTCTCCCGGTGGCGTGCCTCGGGGGTGGCACTCGGGGAGCTGTAGGCCTTGATGGGAGTCAGGATCATCTGGTGCAGTTCCTGGAGCGGGATGCGCAGGTTGCCCCCCTCGATGATGTCCTGGACAGTCAGAGGGAGAAGACCTGCATTAGGGTAAGGAACGGGTGGCCTGCCTCGATGCCTCCCCTCTCCGGCAGGACTTGCGGCTGCTGGCCCTTCATCAGAAGGTTCTTTGAAAAGCAAACATTTTAATGTTATCATTCTAATATGAGCCCAGGTAGAAAACTTGGAAAATACAGATATGTATAGAGAGGAGAAGATCCCACTGTGGAGAGATGAGCACTGACACGGTCTTGGACGCCTCCTCCCTGGCTGCCTGCGTGCCTCCTATGAGACGTGCTTCCATCGCTCACACTCACACACTTCAGAGGTGGTGTGGCGGCAGGGGGTGTGTGGTGGCTTCCGGTCCTGGGGGTGATTCGTTTTGGGTGAAGGACCCTGCTCAGTCACACCTCTGCTCAGCCCACAGCACAGGCAGTACAGGGCAGTGGTTGAAAGCACAGACTCTAGGACAGACAGTGGGATTCAAATTCTGGCACTGCTGTGTGACCTTGGGCAAACAGCCCCTCTATGCCTCAGTTTCCCTGTGGATAAAATGAGAGTAACAACAGTACCTGCCTTAATAAGTAGCTGTGGCGATGTTAGTATTTGTAAAGCTGCAGGTCAGTGTCTGTGACCGCATCCTGTGCTGCTTTCTTAAATTAATAAGCATGTGCTGAGGGCTCTGACTTGCCAGGCACTGGGCCAGGCACGGGGACACGGTGAGAAGGGCCTTTACGGCTCCCTCAGGGGGTGTACAGCCTCTGTGAGATGAACATCCGTCCTGACAGGGTCTGAGGTGCAGGCCGGCTGCTGAGAGGGTGGCTCTCTGAGGGCTGACCCTGGATGGGGGCCCCAGGAAGTGGGGGCATGAGGATCCGGGAAGGAGTGCACCCGGCAGAGGGCACAGCAAGGGCAAAGGCATCAGGGCGGGGTGCCCAGAGTGTCTGAGGAGCAGCAAGGATGCCCGAGGGAGCACAGGGAGGCGACGGGCGAGGGGCCGGAAATGGGATCCAAGGAGCCAGGCAGGTGGAGCGGGGAGGCCTGTGGGCCGGGGCGGGGTGGGGGGAAGAATTTCTTCTAAATGAGACGGGAAATCAGGGAAGGTTTTGAGCAGGAGAGTGACGTGTTTTAGAAGGATCATTCTAGACAGAAATATGTATCATACATTTGTACACTATAATGTATAAAATATATACCTGACTTTATATATTTTATAATAAAATTGGGTCCTTCTGTATACATAGTTTCATATAGTGGGCATTATCTATTAGAAAAAGGAATGAAAGTTGATTCTGATCGACATTTATCTATGTGCCAGACGATCACAGAGGCGCAGAACGGGCTCAGAGGCTTGTGCTGCAAGTCTGGGCCTGGGGGCGCTTTCCTGGCATGGGAGGGGGGGCCCCGGCCCTCAGCCCCAGGGCCGCCCCGGGGCTTAAGCAGCAAACCTCTCCCCAGGACCCAGGAAGGACACTACAATCAGGGCCCTGATTACCAGAGAAGTGTTTAATCTTCTGAGAGCCCAGAATAGCAAGGACATAATTTTACAAGCCTGAAGCATGAGTACCAGCCCATCCCTGGGATCCTCGCTTACCAAGAAAAACTGCTTGGTGATGTCAAGGAACACAAGCACGTGCGATGTGATCATTTCTGCTCCCAGACTGTCCAATCAATTAATTAGAAAAAGGACACCCGAGGACAGCAGCCTTGGACAGGCGGGTTTCACCTCCAGGGAGCAAAAGGCCAGCAGCCCCACCGACCGGGTAGGGAAACAGCTCTGTTCAGGGGTCGGGAGCAGAGCCTGAAGTGGGCCTTCGCCTGGAGGGCAGCCAGGGCTCAGGAGGGAGTGAAATGCTAAGCAGCCCCCAGACCTGTCTTGCTCCTGGCCAGGGTCATGTCCGGCCTATTTGAGGGGAGAGAGTCCATTTTCCCTTTCCCGAGGAGGGCTCAGATCGCCCACCGCCTGCCTCCTGAGCCTGGTGGGTCTGGCGGTAGAGGGATGACTGCAGCTGTGGGCAGACCTGCTGCAGGGTCGGCACTCCTGATCAGGCATGGGCTCCCCGCTGCCCGGACCAGTGCCTGAGGCCGTCATGTGACGGGTCCTTTGACTTGGACCTGGTGACCTAATGGGACAGGGCAGATGGCTTGACTCTGCCACCTTTCCTGACCCCACTACGTGCCAACTGGGGGACCCCTGCTTCGAGGTCCTCCAGTTCCTGCCAACCACCCAACCTGCACCCGGGGCGTGGGGGCTCCGACCTCCTCATCCTGCCCTGACTGAGCCGGGAGGACAGGAGACAGAAGGACGACGCTCCCAGACAGAGGGGCTGGGCAGGCAGAGCTGGCAGGCCTATCTGGGTGACCACAGGCAGGCTGTCATGTCCTTCCATGTGGCGGCTACCGCTGAGGTGAGCATGTGCATGCCTGTGACACTGTCAACCACCACCAAACCCGTGCCTGTTCTTGTCATGTGCAAGAAGGCTTCTAGAGTTACTCCGTGGTGGGGGAGGGGGTTTTGGTTATGGAGAATGCTGAACTCCTTCAAACAGGAAACATACACTTGCCCCAAGTTCAAATCTTATCTTCCTCTTTTACTGGGGCAACCATACCACAAAGGAAACCATAAACATGACGAATACTGTTGGACACTTGCCGTGAAATACAGCTTCTCAGGAATCATGTAGAGTTTGCTTTGGTTTTGTCTTGTTTGCCCCAGAGACTTCAAGCCACTGTCTCAAAGATAACACTGGACTTACAGCCAGTTAGCAATGCCCCTGCCTGTGCCAGCCTGTCGGCTGGTGCCACGACCTGCAGATTACATTCCTGACTCTGCAAAATGAATTCCAGACTCAACACTGAGTCCCAAGTTGAGAAGGAAGCTGAATGGAGACTAGCTGTGGGGATAAATTCTCCCTGCTGACACAAATAGGGGATCAACCCAAGGGTCTACCGATCCTCACATCACCCACATTATAAACACAAAGAGGCAAAAGGAAGCTGTCCATTAACTTATGTGCCAGGACAAAGCCGCAGAGCTGAGGCGCTCAGGTGCAGCACTGGAAAGGCTGGTCCACTGCCATGTGGTCATCTCAGCTCGGGCGGGCACAACTCAGGGAGGACAAGCAGGAAGGGGCACCTTTCCAATCATGTCAGCCTTTTCTGGCCTTGCTTTCTCAGGTCATGGAGGAAGACTGGTGCAGAGTCTTCTGTGGGGCCTGTAACAGCAACGAGATGCAAATATCTGGAGCAGACAGCTTTAGCAGCCAAAGGGTCCCCAGCACTTACCAACTGTCTGTGGCCCCGTTCTTCCCCGTGTGTGAGAAGAATATGGGCTTCTCACACAGTAGACAGGGCTCCTGCATCTACTTCATTCCATTCCCTCTCTTGTCATTTCCCAAACGTCAGCTGAGCCCTACCGTGAGCCTGGCACTGTTAGGGATTGGTGATCTTAACACAAAGTCGACACAGTCCTCACCCTAAGATGCTGACAGTTCCTGGGGCTCAGGAGTGTTAGGATGCTGCCCGGACAGGGAGCTGTGGGAACACAGAACAGGACACCTGACTGCCTCTGTGTGTGTGTGTGTGTGTGTGTGTGTATCTCTTTTCTCCATGCCAGGTTCCCAGGCTCAGAGAATAGTTCAGCTTCAGAGTTTGGGAGTCCATTGGAAAAGAAGGATGGTGAATAAAAGCATGTGGAAACATTTTCAATATTAAAGATGAACGTTGAAAAATCTGCCCAGTGACCATTCTAATCTTCCTTTTTCCTTTTCTACCAAATATCTTGAGAAGTCTACACATCCTCACCCCATGGTCTCATCACCCACTCAGACTCCCCCATTGATGGGCTTCTGCTCTTGTCCCCTCCCAGTCCCCTGAAACCCTTCTCATCATGGCTACCAGTTTCCTGCCAACGCCAATTCCAGGGGGCGGTGTTCAGTCTTCCTCACGTGTGACACATCCATGGCACCCGATAGGGTTCCCTCCGTCGAACACTCTCTCCGACCCTCTGGGCAGGCTCAGCCTCTGTCATCATGCAGTCCCTCCATATCTTCTGGTGTTCCTCAGGGTCTGTCCTCAGCTCCTATCACCTGATGCACACTTCAAGGAGGGGTACACAGGAGGTACCAACTACCATTTATACACAGATGACCCACAACTGAGTCCTTCAAACCCTTGTGGATTATAGACTTACCATATCTTTCTTTCTTTCTTTTTTGTTTTGGTGAGGAAGATTGGCTCTGAGTGTATATCTGTTGTCAATCTTCCTCTATTTTGTATGTGGGATGCCACCACAGCATGGCTTGATGAGCGGTGTGTAGGTCTGCCCCTGGTATCCAAACCCATGAACACTGGGCCACTGAAGCGGAGAGTGCAAACTTAACCACTACACCACCAGGCTGGCCCCTAGACTTGCCATTTCTGCCTGGGTATCCCACAGGCACCTCAGATTCAACCTGTCAAAATAAACTCCATTTCTCCCACACTAGTAACTCCTCCTATATTTTCTGTCCTTAAATGGCATGACACCCAAGCCCAAACTGCCTGTGAATGCCTGGACACCCACTAAACGACCTCTTATCCCTCTCCACACTCATGGACCCTACCTTGACTCAAGGGTCCACCAAGACTGGCCATAGGCTCCTAATGAGTCTTCAAGCCATCTTGGGCCCCTCCAAGGTTTTCTCGTTGCCACTGCAGATAGTCTGTTTCATCCCAGGAAAAATTCTCCCTCCCTGCCTTGGGGATGACATGGATCACACTGGATTCTCAGAGCACTGGCTCATACGTCTGTCACAATGAGAGTCCCGGGCCCCCCGAGGGCAGGAACCTGTGTGACTCACCGTCAGCCTCCAATGGACGGGGTAAGTCTGGTCCAAGGCGGCTGCTTGGTAAGTGTTCAGTAACTGAGTGGGAGAGCTCCAGATGGAGAGCTTAACTGCAGTGTCTACTGGCTGTGAACTAACCATGGGCGGGGTCCTAGCCATCTCCTTAGAGATCTCTGGGTTCCATGTGAGGTAAGAATGCTGTGGGCAAGCAAGGGCACGACGACAGCACTTCCAACAGCACGATCAACTGGGGACACCTGGAGTGCCAGAGAAGTGGCTGAGTGGAGTCTATCACTGGTGGCCTGTGTGGTACAGGTTACGGACAACGCCCTCCCTTGAAGAGCAGGAGAGACAGGGTCCCAGAGAAAAGAGAACAGAGCCAGCAGCTGAGTCCTGAGCAGAAGCTGAGGAAAGGGTGCCCCACCCCCAGGCCATCAGCTCCTGAAGAGACGAGCACACAGGTGTCTGGACTCAGGAGTTCTGAAGCAAGCTCAGTGTGACGGTCTGACAGACACAAGCTTTCCTCCTCAAAGAAGTCAAACTGAACAAACTCATTATTGCTTTCCTCTTGGCCATTAGCTGCTCTCAGACTTTGTATTACATTTGCCATTTTTTTTACACTCTCATTCCAGTGAACCAGGGAAAAAGTATTTTTGTGGAGTAAATATTATTCTAGGTATGAAATCTGGGACACAGAAAGTGTCACTGACTTATTCAAAGGTTAGATAGAAAGTCAGTGGATGTCAGGACCACCAGTGCCACCTTGCTGTCCTGTGTTTCCACACAGTGATTGGGCCCAAGGCCACAGGGAGTAGAGCTGACAGCAGTTCCATCTCTGTCTCTCAGGTGGGCGCGTTTCCTCAGTGACAGGACATGAATGAGTTCCTGAAACATGCTCCAGAAATAAGGGGGGGAGGGTCACTCTTTCACCGTTAACGCTTAGCAATCAAATTTTATACAAAACATTTTCTGTGCTTTCTAACAGATAAGGAGAAAACTGGCCTTTTGAATGCCTCCCAAAAGGGAACGGTTTCTTATATTAGAAATGGCAATAATCACTGTTAGAGAAGCTGCTTGGTAAAGGGGAGCTAGCGTAAAACTAAGAACAGCAGCAATTACTGTGGTTGAGGTGGATGGGTCACTTGTGGTTTGTGACATGCTTTCATTAAGAACAGGCCTCTCAACATGGATGAGCATGTGAGCTGCCTCTGTCTGTCTATCCATCCAGAGATTTTTAAAGGCAATCTTCCTTATAAAGTATATATGCATGTTCTATAAATATATACTCCTTTACATTTTGTGTGATTTTCATTAAATATAACTTTATACATTGTATGTAAAGTTATACACACACACATCTTTGTGAAAAAGAAAAAAACCTCCCACTGTGTTAAAACGTTTACGTGCTCACAGAACTTGCTCTGGTCCTACCCACCTCCATTCTTTGTTCCCTTCCAAAGGCACACTAGGATTACTAGACAAGGCTACCACTCAAGCTCTGCAGGCAGCACATATCTACAGAACGTCCCCCCCACCCCACCCGCCTCCCAAGAGTGACACACAAGAGTCCCAACTCTGGGCAGAGGCAGCACGGGCTCCTGGTGTGTGGAACAAGGCTTGCTCTCCTTTGGACTTTAGGTGAACTCATAAAGTCACCAAGTTCTAGAAATGACGTCACTACCAGGGTGATGTTGGGTACAGAGAGGAAGAAACACGTTTAGGCAGCAAACAGTAGGGCAGTAGTGGCTGATAACTGCTCGACACTGGAATAGACTCTTTTTCAGCATTTAGCATTTTTGAGATGGTTCCTATAAGAGTGATGGGGACCCATTCTACTGTTAAGTTAATGGAATTATTCTCTAGAAAGCCAAGTATGTCCATCCGCCAGATGATTTTGATCCTCTCTACTGAAACGCAAAGCATACCTGTTGGCGCGTGCGTCTCTGGGGGCAGCTTTTCTCAAAACCAGATGCTCCCCTGGGTGGACAGCAGGAACGAAGCACATCTGGGCATTCCCTACACTGTTTTGCCAAGATTTCAGCCTTTGATTATGAGTTGAACACTTCATTCATCTCCACAAATGCATGAAAGGCAGAGGGGAATGCACATGAAATATGTGCATTCGACAGCACTGCCTCAGAGCTCTGGATGGCCAGTCACAGGCTGCCGGGGTCCAGGGGAAAAGTACATTTCAGCGGCCAGGTTGCATAGAAGTAGGAATAACCAGGAAACTTTGCCTCCAAATCATTTCCTTTTCTTCTGACTTTGGTAAGGAAACAGTATGAGGCACTCTGTAAGGTCTGCTGGTGACACTGTCACCTGAGAATTTCCCTTTGTGCGTTCTCCCATGGTGAAGGCGGAAGTGTGCCTCGCCCAGCGATAACTTACCCTTTCCAAAGACTTCAGGAGGTTTTGTCTTTCTTTGAGCTTCTGAATACTGATGACAATTTTGTGTCTTGCACCTTTGGTAACATTCTGTAATTAAATAAAAGCTATATTTAGAAACATAGTTTTAGGAACCAGCTTGGAGACCCTTGGAGGCTGTTTAGCACTTTACTGTCTGCTTTGTTCCTACACGGCTGCAGACCAGTAGACATCCATGTGTCCCTCTCTTTCGTACCATTATCATAACCCTCTCCTCACTAAGTATTCTAACTGCATCTGGCTACACATCTGCCTGTGTCTCTTGGCTGTGACATTTAGGGAGGGAGAGAGACCTGGTACAGCCAGTTACCACACCCAGCAGGAGATTTCTTCATAGTCTTAAAGGGTCATTCTTAAGTCAGACACTCCTCTTCTCCAGGTGTTATCATTTCAGTCACTCCCACTTTCTCCGAAGCTTCCAACCCCATACAGATATTCATTGCTTCCTCACACTTCCCCTTGTTTCCCGTCTCGAGAAGAAGGGAAGTGCAGTGCAGGTCACCTGCTGTCACACCACACAGGCAACTTTGGTCAGTTCACTGCCCTTCTTGGGCCTCCATAAGGAAAACCAGAATACAAATAACTTAAACTTATAACTCAGTCATCACTTCAGGTAAATGATCAGGATTCACAGTGAGGGTGTGCATTTTACCTTCTTAACGTGTAGCAATGATGAGTCTCTGGATTTAATTAAACCCTTGTCGAGTACAGATACTGCAAATTCCCAAACAGGAAGTCCTTTCTCAAATGAGGTCTCTAATACAAACTTCTGGTGACTGCTTGCAACTATTCACAGAAATCCTCTTAAAAAGGAAAAGATGGGAACACCAGTGACACTTCCTTTACTTAGAAAAATCAAGACTCAAGTGACAACGGATGCCACTCTCTAAAATGAACCACTGAGGACACATTTCTGTTTAGCCTCAACTTTGATTTCAAGCGAGTTGAATTCTTTTACTCCGAAAAGTTTGTGCTGGCCTCTGGTTTTGCCCCCCGTGTCAATTATTTCTTGTTTTCTCTTAAGTCAAACAACTGATGACTGAGATTTTTTTTTATCAACTCTGACCCAAACACAAAAATGCTCTTAGAAGCAGTTCTCATCAGTTCCCAGGTTCTCAAGGAGCAATCTAGATCCAAAAAGCAGTGGGAGGTGTGTTAGGCAGCTGAAACTAGTGCCTTTTGCCCTCTGAGAAGGTGCGGTGACCTCAGGCTTTATGGTGCCTCTCAATACTGGTATTCAGCAGGCCTGCAGAGGTGACCGGAGGGAGCCAAATATGCAGTGGGAAGTCAGCACCTGCTGGGAGGGATGTGTCCAGGCCAGACAGCCATGCCCCAAATGGTACACTCTCCTCGTCTTGCAGGGGAAATGCTATTAGCCTGTTCAGACCATTAATTCTTTTAAATCGCTGCTCAAGGGAAACTGAGGTCAATGTGAAACATGCAAATAGCATTTTAAACAAGGGAGACAAAGGCATCACTCATATCTATTTACTCAGCACAGCATGGTAGGAAACATGCCTAGTTTCAGGGGTTCTGTTGACTGGTCTGGATTTTGTCATCCACACTTGGGGAAGGAGGCCTTAGAAGGAAGGAGGAACTCTGTGCTTTACGGCACACAAAAGGGAAATGAAATCTGAGGCCTGGGGTAATCCCATTCTTAATGATTGTCTCATGTTATTCAAGGTGGTTAGAAGAAAAAAATATTTTGCACAATTTACTCCAATCTCCATTAAGTCCAGTCTGAACATGTTTTTAGAAAAGTGTTGGGGAAGGTCTGAGGCATGACCTGGTGCTTCTTAACTGCAAGAGGTTATCTGTTTTGTAACTGGACTGGACAGCAGACAGAGTCATTCCCCAAACAAGGCTGGTTGGGCAGAGGGAGGGAGAGGGCAAGCAAAGCAGAAGCAGGGGCACAGAGTCTTTGAGGCCTTGGTAAAACTTTCCTTCTTCTAGGAGACACCACTGATGCCCCCAGCACCTCGATCTTAGAGCGTGCACTCAGGTTATACCTTTTTCATAACACTCTCTCTCACCCTCATTTGCCCTGTGGTTCTCTGCTCGTCTTCCATCTCCTACTGGATCCTGAAGGCAAGAACCCAGCCTTACTCACCATGTAACTTTGGCCAGCACCTGGCAGTTCCTAGAATAAGGCAAGCTACTGGGTGGGTATAGGTATGGGTCCAAATAAGGTCTGTCTTGGACTCGAACTTCAGGTTCCACCTGGGGCACCTTCTCAGGGAATGGTCACCTGGAGCACATACCTGAGCCTCCAGCTGGCACTCAGTGAGGGCCATCATTTCCTCATAGGTCATCTGGGAGAAAAGGGCAGCGTACTTGTGCAGGCGGAGGCTTTTTAACCAGGCTGGAACATCTGTGGTGCAAGATGTGCAAGAGATGGGGAGAGAAATTGAGAGGGAACGAGAAGAGACGACAAAAGATGTGGGAAAAGGGAAAGGAAAAGAGGGTGATGGTCAGAAGAAAAAAAGAAAAGAAATCTTAATGTTACTACTTGTTTACTTTTGGCAGCAAATGATGGAATTAGAAGTCCTGATCTAGCCCTGACCTTCCTACTCTTGGGCTCCCTTATTCTGCTTTATTCCAGGAGCTTGCTAACTTGGGGTCCATGGGCCTCAGCGCATACAGGAATTACCTGAAATTATATCCCAATTTGTGAATATATTCACAGTAGTCTTCTTGGCAGAGGGTCATCCATAGCTTCCATAAGATTCTCAAAGGGGTTCATGACCAAAAAAATGTCAAGGAACCACTGCTTTAAAGATTTTTTATTTTTTCCTTTTTCTCCCCAAAGCCCCCCCGGTACATAGTTGTGTATTCTTCGTTGTGGGTTCTTCTAGTTGTGGCATGTGGGATGCTGCCTCAGCGTGGTCTGATGAGCAGTGCCATGTCCGCGCCCAGGATTCGAACTAACGAAACACTGGGCCGCCTGCAGCGGAGCGCGCGAACTTAACCACTCGGCCACGGGGCCAGCCCCAAGAAACCACTGCTTTAGCTGGATGACTCCACTATTGACTTGGAAAGAACTGACTTAGAACGTTAAAACTACATATGATGCGTTTTCGTCCTCAAGATGATTTCTTTCTAGGTTCAGTGCAGATCTCCACATTGCTGTTTCGGCCACTGCCACAGTGATAGGAAAACCAGGCAACAGCTGTACCCTACGGGTAGAGCCGCAGTCATTCTCAGCCTGATCTCTCTTCTGTCTTCCTATGCGTGGGAATAAGGGCATCCAGGGCTCCAAAACTTTCACTGTAGCATGTGTGTGTCTGCTGACCATTTCTCCAAGCTATGGAATGTATCTGCATGTGTCTTTGACCTTTTCTTTGAATGTCAACTACAAATACATCAGGATTTGAAAGGTCCAAAGACTGGCTAGACCATAGGATAATGGAAATTCAAAGCATATATGAAATAAGCCCCAAGTTTGGGATTCCAGAATTAGGAAAATTAAATAGTAACTGTACTGAAAATCCACACGAGAATTATTACAGTCATGCATCGCTTAATGACGGGGATATGTTCTGAGAAACGCCTTGTTAGGTGATTTTGTTGTTGTGCAAACATCATAGATGTGCTGTACTTACACAAACCTAGACAGTATAGCCTACTACACACCTAGGCTACATGGTACTAATATGCAACCACTGTTGTATACACGGTCCATCATTGACTGAAACGTCGTTATGCAGTGCATGACTGTAACTTGCTAAGTACAACCAAAAAAAAAACTTGCCCATGGTTTTTTAAGTCAGAGTTTCTGAGCTTATAGAATCTTCAGGAAATCTCTAGAATCATGCTCTCCCACCCTGGCTCATTCTACAGATGGCAAAATTAAGTCATTAAGTCTAAATCACAGAGCAAGTACGCGGTGAAATGGGGACTAGAACCAGGTCTCCTGATTCCCAGCTTTCTCCTACATTGTGTCAACTACTTGTAAAATGAAGACCAAACAGCCTGTCTGTGGGAGGGCTGAATAAAACAATGACTACAAAGTACTCTGAAATGCTAAGCATTGGGTAAATGTTATTCATGCTTTCTACGAATTATTATTCATTACTAACCATGTTGGTTGTAAGATACTGTCTGTCGCTGTGCTTTATTCTGAGGCACTGACAGAGACCATGAACACTACAAAATAAGTGGGAACCTTCCAATTGTTCAATGTTTGTAGTAGTTAACTGGGACTGATTAAAGAGACTTGGCCTACTCTGAAATCAGGCCCTGCCTCCTGGGTAAGCCAAACCCAGGTGTAGGGCACGAGGGTACGGGACGATCTGAAACTCAAAGATCTAGGAGGGAAGGGTGGGCCTGGGGAGGTGACTTCTTCATTTGCGGTAATGTGAAGGCCAAAGAAGGGGAATTTCTGGAGAACAGAATTGGATATCCAATGGCATTTTAAGAAGAGACTCAGTCATCTCAGGCAAGAAATCACTTGATTCTGTGCTTGGAGGCCCTTCATTCTACTGTGACAAGTGAAGAGTCCTTCTGCAACCAACCATCATGAACCACAAAGAGACAGGGCTTCCACAGGTACACAGTACCAATTACTTACATCCTCCTCAACTCAAACTGTGGTTAGATAGAGAGTCCAGGACATCCACTTTCCTCCCTGCAACATCTTGGAGCTATTTTACCAGACTTTCTTCTCCACCAGGTTTTTGTTGCTGTTAAAACAATGCTAACACTTCTGCAGAGCAAGGAGCAAATAAATACAGCTCTGGTTTTTAGGTCAATGATGTGTTACCACTTTGTCACCAGATTTCATGTTTGCCATTTACATCTCTGAGAAGCTCCAAGTCACTGCTCAGAAAACTCAATGACCATGATTCAAAGAAGCCTGGGTAATCCCATGCCACACTTGGGCACAATTCATCACAAGAGTATAGAGTGACCTCATGGGCCACATTTTCACTGGGGGCCCTGCAGTTTCATCATGCAACATCCAATGATGATAAACAAACAGAATCCTGAACTACTAAATTATGTTGCAAACTGGGTACTTTATAAGGCAAGCTGACAATATGGTGTTTTAAGAGTTGGAGAGAATGGGGTACAAATCTTGGCCTGGTAAGTCTCAGTCCCATCAGCGCTAGTCCCTTTCTATAAAAGTATTGTGACAACTGGACTTGCCCTGGCTAGAGGTATGGAAGAGTCAGCCTCACTTGTTTAGTCCAAATACAGGTCACTGGGAGTTGTTTTCCTAGAAAAGGTTCCTATACAACTTGAAAACACGGCAAGTTAGGCCTTCCTGAAGAGTTATTTCTGGACATGTTCCTGGGAAACGTAAGGTCCAATTGACCATATGTTCCTTGAGGCAGGCATGTGTCAACTGTGCGTGTGGAGCAAGCCGTCTCAGGGCCTGCTTCAGTGCTGGGGGCCTAAAGAGCTCTCCTTCCCGCAACGGGAACTGAGGAACAAAGAAGAGAGAATCCAGTTCTAAGAACATAGCTTACTCACCCCTATTTGGTGGTGAGGCACCTTCCTTTGCCAAGGCTTAAAACAAAATGTCATTAAATAAAAGGGAAACAAACCAGAGAACTGAGCACCTTGACCGTTTCATTCCTCCCAAGCCACGAATTCCAATGACTTGGATGCTAGATTCTGTAAGACGTTGGCCAGGGAAAAATTCTAACTAAAAGCTCAGGTCCTTTCCCATGGTCCAGATGCTACACGGTTGGATGCAAAGCTGAGAACCACCTAAAATAACTCCAGACCTTCCTTTCTCATTTTGCAAAGCTGTGGCTATGGGTGGAAGACACAGACAAGCAGGGGTGTTTCCTGGAGCAGTGGTACGTGACTGAAGGCACGAATGCCTCCTGGGTTCCCATGTCTGGCTGGCCCACAGCCGTTTAGCTTCATCTGTGCCACTTCTGATGAACATGACAATGGAGGTCACAGATTAGAAAATCACTCTCTTATGCAGTGTGAGAAAGATAAAGATGCTTTCCTATGTGCTGGACTGACTTAGACTGACTTTCTTGCCAACTGTGGGCATCCTGATATTTGCTACTCAACATTTATTGAATGCTTACCATGGTGGCCAGGCTCTGTGAAGACATGTCCCTGCCATCAAGGAACTTTTAATCCCGAGAGAATGGCTGACTCACAGAAAAATGATACTAACTACAGGATAAGTGCTAAGTGTATTCAAAGTTCTAGGGGCCACAGAACAATGAGCATTTAGGTTTGCCTTGGGGCGTGAGAGAGAGTTTCACAGTAGTGGCAGACCTGGAGACATTGGGCAGACTATATTGACAAAGCCATCTCAGGAAGCAGGAAGAGCATATAAACAAAGCACAGAGCCAAGAGAGCATTGTGGGTCAAGTAAATGCTTAGGTGAATGATAAAGAATGACTAGAAATAGGGTGGGGCAAATAGGCAGGGGTCAGATGATTGAGACCTGTAATGTTGAGATAAAGCGAGTGGACTTCATCTTGTGGGTGATGGGAAGCTGTTGAAATCTGAGGGGTAGAGGCACAATCAGAGGAGTATGTTAGAAGGATGATGGCTGTCAAGGTAAAGGCTAGACTGGAGGATGGTGAGAGTGGAGGCCAGGAGAGGAATTCAAGCCCTTGGAGATGGCTGGGAAGGCAGTGGCAGAAGAGAAGGAAAGGATATAAACTGACAGTAATTGAAGATCAGGGAAGAAGAAGGAGTAAAAGAGAGAAAGGAGCCTAAGATGGCTTGTCTGATGCAAGTTTGATGAGACAGAAAATACAGGGGAGCAGTAGGTTTGGGGTGAGAAGAGAGAGATGGTGAACTCCACTTTAGATCAGTTGAGTGTCACTGACTTTGTGCCATCCAGGTGGAGAAGTCAACTGGTCAAGATCTCTGAAGAGAGGTCTGAGCCAGAAAACCACTTTCCTTGTCAGTAGCACATGGTGGTTGTTTTAGCCATGGAAGTGGGTGAGATCACGCAGGGAAAGAGCATGGAGTAAGAATAGGGGAGGGCCAGGTGGAGCCCTGGGAGCGCCAGGCTTTTAGGGGAAGGTGTGGGAAGAGAAGCCCACGAAGGAAACTGAAAAGAGAAGGCTAAAGGGTAGGAAGTTTCTTGGTTTCTGGGAGAAAGCACCACCATTCATGTGCAGACAGTGTTCCTCCAAGCCACAGTGTCCATGCTTCCTGAAATTCTTTCCAGATCTTTCTGCAGTCCACAATTATCTTCTCATGGCCATTGTTTTTCTGTTTGTTTTTTTGCTGAGGAAGGCTGGCCCTGAGCTAACATCCATGCCCATCCTCCCCTACTTTATACGTGGGATGCCTGCCACAGCACGGCTTGACAAGCAGTGCGTAGGTCTGCACCCAGGATCCAAACTGGTGAACCCTGGGCCGCTGAAGTAGAACGTGGGAACT